CTACTGCAAGAGGATCAGCCCCGAGTGGAAGCAGCAGGTACTTTGCAGGGCACCTTTGCAGGGTTCCCTGACATTGCCAAGGGCAGAATTCTCAGGGAATGGAGGAGGGGAGCAGCTGGATGGGAGGGCCAGGCCCTGCCCTGGGCATCAGGGCAGCAGTGGGGAGCTGAGGGATGGGAATCGCTGCTTTCTGGGGTGCCACAGGAGTGTCACTGATTTGGGTTTAGGTTAGACACAAAACACTAAAAGCCTGGAACGTGCACAGAAGAGACGCCATTCTATACATATTTCAATAGATACTATTTAAACAGGCTGTGGAGCCAAGGCCCCACATAATTTCTCTATTGAAAAGCCCTGCTACTCTGCCCATGGAATCTAAAAATATAAGAAGCTGCATTATTCTGCCTGTACCATGTAAAGTAGAGAGTAAGAATCCTGCAGACACAAACCCAGTCATTTTCCAAACAGAGAAGTTACAGGAACCATTTCAGCTGCTCTGTTGTAGCTAAAAAGAATAAAAATGATACTGAGATTTGAGTCATCTCATGGAAAGGTAGGGGGAGGGAGTTTTTGTATTAAAAAAGAGCTCAGTAAAGAGAGAGAATAGATGTTGGCTCTAACTGCCAGGAGGGTTTTTCACTGCACTATCTCTCACCTTCTGCAGTGCATGGACACCTGGAATGAGAGGCTGGGGCTGAGCCTGTGATTAGGGACATGGGATTAACTCAGCTCAGCAGCTGCTTTCCCCCAGCAAACCAGACTCCCTGATCAGGAGCCTCTTTTATCCCTATTTTTCCCTGTAAATCATCCCAGGTGCCTTGTCCTGTGTCACTGCTGTATCCCCAAGGACAGCAGTGGGGATTTCCCACTTTCCCAGCCCCGGGTTTGCTCTTGGAGCAAAGAGCCCAGCCAGGGCTCAGGTCACTGACAGGGGCTGGAGCTCTGCCACCTCCAGGGACTGAAAGTTTAGGGTGACTCCTCATCCAAGCAGGGACTGAATTATGACTGCTAATAAAACCACAAAGGGAACATCTCTCCTAACACAGATGTATCTTTTTAATGAGGAGAAATTTTATACTAAATAGGAACACTTCTTTTGTCTTTGCAGTTGGAACAAAAAGTAATTGCCAGTGAGATTTTCAAGGGTAAAAAAGACAATTATCCTCAGAGTGTTCCCAGGCTCTTCATCAACACTCGACTGGGTGAGTGGGGGTTGCCAAGTTTAAAAGGAGGAAGGAAGGGGGGGATTAATGAACTCTTTTCTTGCTGGAAATTCCTTTCTGACCCCCCATGTTTTTGGTTTTAATACAGGTAGAGAAGAAATAAATACTAAAGTCCTTCAGGCATTAGAAAGTGAAGCACTTAAGGTGAGAGATGTCAAGCTTTTGTCATGCTCCCAGTTATTCAGAAGAAGGGCAAATTAGATCTCTGGAGAAAGTACAGCAAGAATTTTACATTGTCCTCCAAAGTATTACAAGCTTAATACAGTCTGGGAAGAGTTGATGGATTAGAAAGTGGAGATTTGGGAAGTTTAATGATGGCAGTTCAGAATTGAACGGGTTACAGCTGGAGGGGAAGAGGGAAACCCCCAGAGTGACACCAAACCTGGGTTTCCCAGTCCCCAGGCAGTGCAGCTACCAGGGTATGTCCAGAGCTGCTCTGGGGCAGTGAGGAAGTTCTGGCACAGAGAATTTTTTGCATTCCTGGTTTCCCAAGCCCTGGTTGGTGCCTGCTGGGGGCTGGCAGTGTCCCAGGAGGGATCTGGCCCTGCTCACTCGTGTTTCAGTATGCAGTGCCCGTGGTCAAGTACGACAGGAGGGGCTACAAGGCGAGGGCACGGCAGCTGCTGCTCACCCAGAGCTCGGCCATCGTGGTGGAGGAGTCCAAGATCAAGCAGCGCATCGACTACTCCAACCTGACAGGTGGGAATGGCATAGGGATGGGGCTGGGCACTCCCCTGACCCTGCTCCTCAGCTGCACTGTCACATGTACCACTACAAACTCCCATTTATCTTTGTCCTGGACAAGAATGGGATGAGCTGATCCTGGCAAGCATTTTAGTGTCTTGAAATTGCATTTTTCTAAAATGAAGCTCCATAAAATGTCACCAAAATGACTCAATTCATCTCCCTCAACCCACCCTCAGTGATTTCCTAGGGTCTGGGAAATCCCAGAATCCCTGCAGGGATTTCTGCAGGGTCTGGCCATGGGGGAGTTGCACCATTGCAGCACAGCAGCTGCCAGAACCACTGCTGCAGCTTTTGGCCCTTGCAATATCTGACAGGGGCCCGATTCTTAGGAAGGGGGAACTGCTGAGCCTGCTGCAGTGTGGGCCCTGAAGCCTCTCCAGCCTCTCAGCTGTGCTGGGTGGGAGCAGTTGCTGCATTCCTGGGGAGGCTGTGAGCCCTCCCAGGCCAGGCAGTGCCAGTGACACTCCCACCTCTCCCCAGGCATCTCAGTCAGCAGCCTGAGCGACAACTTGTTTGTGCTGCACGTGCACTGCGAGGACAACAAGCAGAAGGTACTGGGGGCTCATCCCTCCCTCCTCCAGGGAGCACATCCACCTGGGAGGAGGGGGTGACAAGGTGACAGGGGTGTGACTTTGTGCCAGCTCTTTCACTGGCATTTCCCTGCGCTCTCAGCTGGGGCGCAGCAGTGCTTGTTCATCCCCCCGTGGTGATGTCCCTGTCCCTTACAGCAGGGGTTAGTTTTGGTGCAGTGACACCAAAGCCATGATCCTAAAGCATGGACTCTCCTCCCAGGGTGATGTTGTCCTGCAGAGCGACCACGTGATTGAGACACTGACAAAAGCAGCTATTCTGGCCAACAAAATCAACAACATCAACATCAACCAGGGCAGGTGAGTGACACCAGGGCCCTGCTTCTTCCTGTACCCCATCCAAATGTACCCAACCCACCTCAGCCAAGGCTCCAGAGCACATCTGTTGCAGCTCTGTCAGCACCCAGCTCCTGGAGAGTCCCACAGGCTCACCAGGGCTGTTCTCACCCTTTGCTCTTCACAGCATAAAGTTCACAGCGGGACAAGGCAAAGAAGGGATCATCGACTTCATCTCGGGATCAGAACTGCTCATAGCCAAAGCCAAGAACGGGCATCTAACAGTGGTGAGTGTGGGCTGGGGATCACTTACCCTGGACCCAAACCAGCATTCTGGCATGGGACACATGCCATGGGATGTTCCTGCTACCCCAGCCTTTCCCCTACTTGGAGCTGGGCACAGGGCTCCTCCTCACACTCAGCAAGGGACTGTCCTCACTTTTTACTTCCACCGCCAAGATTCATTTTACTCCATAGCAAAACAAATTTTCAATACATTTAAAACCTCAAATAAAATCCTCTCCCCTTCTCAGCTTGTTTGTGGTGATCCTGGCAGTCAGATCAGCCCCACAGCTGATTTATGCACTGTCAGACCCCAGCTTATTCAGAAATAAATCCCGAACAAATCCAGATTGCACTGACACCCCTTCCCGTTAGAATCAGAGGGTTGCCCATCCTCTGAACAGCCTCAGCATTTTGAGGAATTAAAACTTTTACAGCATTTTGAACACACTTTCAAACCTGTCCTTCTCCTGCAGGTCGCTCCTCGGTTGAATTCCCGATGATAAAAAATTCCCTGCTCCAGGACCTTTCCCTCCACGGAATTGGCTGAACATTGCTCCCAGCAAACCCCCCTTCCTCGCTTTGCTCTTTCTGTTACTACCAAAGACCTGCACTTTGAGAACAACCACAAAATACATCCTTGCTCTCTTGTCTTACTCTCAAAGTCCCAAACAAAGGCCTTCTCCTCCCCTCCTGACCCGACTGAACGTGGGGTCCAGCACAGCATCCCTGCAACCACAGCTCAGGACCTTCAGCTGGGCTTTGAGGGAGAGTTAAGCCCTGATGGAAATGACCAAAATTTGTGCTTGTCATCACCAAAAAAAAAGCACAATCAGAAACCAAGTAACTCTGCTGCTTTCTCAGCCAAATCACTGAAATGCCAAACTTTGTATTCAGAATGTTTTATGAAGAATTTTGCTCGAAGATGTTTTAATGCTTTGTGTTACAAATATAGTGAAGCCATATTGTGTAAATGAATAAAATCTGTAAATACTTTATAGCCAAGGATGAGATGCACTACGAGAGATAGAGTTGATGTGGAAACTTTTATGTTTTAGATTTGGAAATTCTGTTGGTTTTAGTTTATGGTTACAAGGTATAACCTGAAAAACCCATAATGTAACTTCACTGATCAGGAGCCAGAGACTTATCTTTTTTTGAAGTCAGCTGTCCCATTTCTTGCTCTCTATTTTTATACCATAGGAATTTTTCATATCCACACAAACACAATGTAATACAAACTGCAGAGGTTACACTGCTCTGGGCTGGCCATGGGATGAACATGAGCTTTCCCCCCCCCTTTCTTTCTTTCCCTGTCTGGGAGTCCCCACTGCCCCTTCCCCACACAGCTCCGCAGGCTCAGAGCAGCACCTTCAGGAAAAACGGCTTTTCCTCTTCTTCCTAGCCATAACTGGAAGTCTGATTCCCACAGTATTTATACCAGTGCCTCAGTGCTGCCTGAGCAGGGAGGGCTGGGCACTGCTGCTGCCCCCCACAGCTCCAGTGACACAGGGGCTGGGTGCTGGCTGCAGCACAGGTTCCTCCTCAGCACCTTCCTTTAACCCCAACAGCTGCAGGGTGCACGGCTCCATGGGGAATTGCTGCTGCATCCATAGCACAGCTCCACAGTCCAGCCCGTGCATCCTGCTCTACTTGCCTTAGACACCCAGCCCCTGCATCCTGCTGCAGCCACAGCCAGCCCTGAATGCCTCTCACCCACTGCTGCCTCTCTCACAGCCTCAGCTCTGTCTCCTGCTCTGGCTCCTGACACGATGCCATTGTCCAGCCCTGCTCTTGGCTGGAATGTGGGATACACTGCAGGTCATCCCCAGATGTGCTCAGTGTGTGCAGAGCACGCTGCAGATGTTGTGTATAACCTCTGCCAGACTATGCTGAATAAATTTTTACAAAAAAACAACCCCTGTGTCCTTGATGCAGCTTCCTTCCATGGTTTGGGGGGGTGGTGGGCTGACCCCAGCCCCAGCTCTGTGTCCATTCCAAGGAGCAAGTTATTCCCAGCAGAGCAGATACCCTGTGTCCCTTCTCTCCATCTGTGGCACTGCACTGGATGAGAAGTGCTGAACAGCAGGTGAGAGGAATTCACCAACCATTTCCCAGGGATTTATATAGGGAAAGACTGGATAAAAGTGCTGCTCCCAGCAGCACAACTCACGCTCAGACCAAATCTTCCTTAGCTCCTGTCTGAAGAACAAGGCTGCTCCTGCTGCTCTCTCCCCCTCCAACTGTTCCTAGTACAAGCAACAAAGGAAAGTTATTCTTCTAAAAGAAATTCATAGTGATGGTTGGCATTTTTAATTTAGGTTTGTTTTATTTAAGTTTAATGTTAATTCCATGCTGTGTTTCAGTAAGAACAATACAGATTCTGTATCTGTGGCTCCAGTCAGATATCCAGTAGTACAAATTAGCTTCAAGTTACACATACTGAACAAAAGAGGTTGAGCGAGCGAAGGGAGATGGGGAGAGGGGAGGGAGAAAAGAAAAAATATTGAACACGCATGCAGGCTTATCAATGCCACCTTCAACGCTAACCTGCTTGGAGGGAAAGTAAAGAACAGGCAAGAATGAGCAGCCACGGATTGTTGAACTGTTACCAGCACCATGATTTTCAGCAACATTTCAGCAGTTTGGAAACTTTTTGTTTTTATACAGTAAAACCACTACAATAAATGTCCCAAATGCAACCTCGCAACTTCAAGCTAAACACCCAATTAAGTTGAAACATTGGTATAAAATTCAGTTTAAACAGTTATAAAAAAAAGAAAGATGCCACCACATGAGCACTACCTGGCCAGGACCAATCTCTCCCTACACGGCCTTCAGGTGTCACATCCAGGGCTGATGGCAATGTCACCACAGCTGGCAGAGACAATACAGTAATGCTGAAAGAGCCTTTACGCAGTCCTGTTAGTGTCTTAAAGAACCTAAAAGCTGGCACCAGTAAAATCCACAGAAATTCACTCTTGCCTTTAAGAACTTTTAAACTGTGTAAAAAAAATAAAAATAAAGAAACCCAACAGGGCAGGAACCTAAATTCTGAGACCCAATGTAAAAGTCAGATTTGGTGGTTCTCAGAGTGACACTGAGGGTTTTTGTGGGGAAGGGGGAGGGTGGTCAGAGATGGGTTCTCTTGTTGGCCTTTGTGTCTCACTGGTTTTCATCTTCCACATCCTGCAACGCTTCTTTATTCTGTTCTTCACCTGTGGAAGTGGGAAGAAGGAAGGAAAATGTTACAATTTAAAACTGAGAGCTGCAGAACAGCTTTACAAGCACCTCGAGATTAATATTTTCATGCAATACACGCTCACTCTCCCACTCCACACTGCCGGCTCCAGAGTGAAGCGTTCCCATGGAAATGAAGCCTTGGAATCACCTGCACCCTCACACACAACTGCAGCCAGGCCATTAGAACATGTGAGGACAAACAAACCCAGCCCTGAAGACTGACACCACACAGGTGAGCAGTCCTGCTGAGCAAGGGCTGGAGAGCCCAGGCAGAAACCATGGCAAGAGCTGTGGATCAACATCCTTGGCTCTGGAAATCCCTTCCCCAAACCCTCATCTCTCTTTTTCTGACCAAGCCCACTCAAGTCTCAACAGCAAAGTACTTCAGGCCATTTTACACAGTTACACTGACAGGAGGCAGTACCAAAGCTATGAAAAACACCCTACGGTGTGTCCAACCTGACAAGACACCCTGGGTTTAAGGTTATTAAAGAAAAGCATCTTGTGGAAATTAATGTCTCTGGTTCAACCAGGCTGTGCCATGCAGTGGAATGGGGCTGTCCTGCAGTTTGGTTACACTCCAGCTGCCCCGGGGAGCTCCATGCAACACCTTCTGCAGGGCTTCACCAAAATTCTGCTGCAACTGGGCAAGTTCCAGGTACCTCAGCTGGTACCACCATCACACATGCACAAGTCACTTAATTGGTAAGGAAGGCTGAAAAAATGTTTACAATTATCTGTAACCACATAAGATGGGACTCTCTTAGGGGCAATAAACACAAACCAGTAATTAAAAATTTAATTTGCAATAAAACCCTGGTAAATAAACCGGTAACTTCCAGCAATGTTTGCTCAGAGCATGTCCAGATTCAGGACTACCACCAGTACAAAAGGAAGTAGATTTTGGAAGAGGGGCCTAGGAACACAAGACATTCAACAATAATAAAGTTTATGGATAGAATTCAGTATCAGTTCATTTAAAAGAGGAAAGTGGAGGCTTTAACCCAAATTAGAAGATCTGAGCATGCTCTAACCAACACACTTGAGCAAATACTCCTCTACCAGGCCACTGTGAAGTACTTCCCATGCCCAAATATTCTTCTATCCATCCCGGTCTGCAGTTCAATTCCCAAACATGTGAGTTACTCTGGATCCTAGTCAAGCACATAATCCCTGGGAAGGGGACAGGTGCCACAGGAGTGGCAGCAGGGACACAAGCGTTTGTCAGCAGCAGGTGACAGAGGCAGGCACTGTTAGTGACAGGAAAACTGACACTGAAAACTCCAGTGAGCCATGACAAGAGACTTACAAAGTAGAGATTTTAGGAAATGAACAGTTGGACTTTCCTTTAGGAATCTATACAGCAGGAAAGAAGGGGAGAACAGGAATCATGGAGATGACATTGCAAGTGTGGAAATAAACTCAACACTCATCTGGGCCACGGGAAAGCTACAGGGGTTGGGATGGGAGTGCAGCAGCTGGGTCATGCCTGCTTTACATCCCTACACAGCTGAAATGGAAACAGGGAAAAGCCCAATGCCAAAGAACGAGCCCTTTGCAAGCCTCTCCCACCCCCTGGAAACTGCCAATTGTGCCACTGCTGATTTACTGTTCAAAGGCTCTGCTCATTTGGGAACATGGAGCTCTGGAAGCATCAGCTGGAAATGCACTCATAGCAAAGTATGAGAAAACTTTACTTTGCACCTGTGTCTAAACATTCTACATAATTGCTTTTGTGGATCTGAAGAATTCCACCACGATTTTAAGCAGTCCTACAGTATTTTCAATTCTGTCATCATTATCTTTCTGGCACCAGTAACCAGGACAACCTGAACTACTTCAGGAAGAACAAAAATATCTCTTTTTCCATGCTGTGGAGCACGGAATTTAGATCTCTATTTCTTTTTCATAAATCTAAAGAGCCTGAAAATAATCCTGTGGAACTTCTGTAATATCCAAGATCCACGAGAGACAGCTGCTATGGACAAATCAGGAATTTTTGTAAGACACTGTACTATCCTACACTGATCCAACCTTTTTACTCCACTAAAATGGCTTCCACAGACTACCAGGGTATTTGGACCTGGTAAAAAAAGTAAAGGTTGTATCTAAATTGAGGGAATTTGAAATACATTTCTCTTCTCCAATGCCTACCCATGGCAAGGAAGGCATTCAACACCTGCCATGTTTGGAGAAAAATCTACAGATCCATCCAGGGTCCATCCTGCACCAGGACACAATCCTTAAAAAGGGAGCTGCAAGAGCCATAAACACTGGGATGTGGAATAAAGCAGGAGCCAAGACCCCACACATTTACAGCATTCCCAGTCTTAGGAGCCCAAAGAGCAGAGTGAGAAGCTATGGAGTAACAGCACTTCAAAACAAACCCATCACCCTACATAAAAACAGGAAATTGGGAAAAATTTAAAAGATTCTGCATTTGCTTTCAAATGGACACACCACCAGTGAAGTACCCTCAGGAATGCTGAATGGCTACAAAGAAAAGCTTACCAAAAATCTGGGACACTCACATATTTATGTGAAATTCAGTAGTGTGGTTTCTCAAGTTCTGGGCATTTGTAGGTACCCAAAATAATCTTAACACAACTTATTTCTTCCCCTCCAAGTTAAAAGTAAAGAAGTCAGCTCTTTTCACTTGTCTTTCCAAGAGAGAAACCCTAAAATGAGTAATTTATACTAAACACTGAATGTGAAAGTTTAAGTGTTGGGAAAGTCCATTCAGTGTGTCAAAACTACTTCAAAAATTTATGCTATCCTTTGCTAGTGAACACAAGCAATCCATGTCCCACCCTCTGGTACTACCAGGGGACACATTTGGCATTTGCTCTGGCAATGAGAATATGGAGTGACCTGGAATGAAGGAGAACCAACACATCTGCAGTATTTCCTCCTGCACTGGAGGAATGACAGCCAGAGATGAGCACAACAAGCAGAAAGAAAAAAAAGATTAAATAAATGATAACCTGACAGTCACTGCTTTTACAGTTATCACAGCTGCCACGTGGAGAGGGAAAAATAACCAAGTGTTGCTAATTCCACACCTCTTCCTTCAAGCGAGAGTTCAAAAGACTCCAGTGTCACCCCTATCACCTGATCCAGGGTTAAGGTAGGACAGGAGGGTCATTATGAGGAGAGATAGAAGTAAACCATCAAAGCCTCTCCATTTCCATGCTCTGCTCCCTGGGTCAGGATGAGCTGCTCCAGCAGGACTCACTTACCATCACCCTGCATGTCTGAAGTCCATAGTGTCAGGTTATCACGTAACAACTGCATGATAAGTGTAGAGTCCTTATAGCTTTCTTCACTCAGTGTATCCAGTTCTGCAATAGCATCATCAAAAGCTGCTTTTGCCAACCTGCAATGACACAACAAAGATTTAACAAATACTGCTGAACACAGAAGCACAAATTAACACCAGTCACTTTGTGCTTTAAGCATTTTAATCTGTATTGGTTTTATTAAACATTTCAACATCTTGATTAAGGGCTGCTAGAAACCTAGTGTAACCTGCAGTGACAAAAGATAAATGGTATTTGCTTCAATCACTCTGTACAAGCTCACACGTCACAAAAATCAGTGTCAGCACCTCTTCCAGCTTGTGCAAGACCAGTTAAATCACCTCACACCTTGGGCAGTTTAAGGGTATGCACAGTTAACCTGGCAAGCTGCTGAACTGCCATTAGGTGATCAATTCAAGATGATCACTGTTGTGTCTCTCATACACCATTACTCCCACACAACCACGTGGCTCTGGACTCCAAAGAAAATGGTGATGCTGAAAATCTTCCCAGTGAACTGACATCAACCAGAGCAAACATCAGCAGGAAGAAAGCAGGAAAAGCAGTTACCTAAGGAGCAACAATTCTGGCTTGTCTGGTATTCACACAACAATGCTATATTCCCACTCTGCCAGTCTCCACCTACCTGCAGGCACGATCAGGAGAATTAAGAATTTCATAGTAGAATACAGAGAAGTTGAGCGCAAGTCCTAAGCGGATGGGATGTGTTGGTGGGAGTTCTGTCATTGCAATATCACTAGCAGCTTTGTAAGCCACCAAGCTGTTCTCTGCAGCCTCCTTCCTGTCATTTCCTGTGGCAAACTCAGCCAGATACCTATGGTAGTCCCCCTTCCTGAGAACAGAAACAGCAGGAAGTCAGTAATCCTCGTTTGCCCACCAGCCATTAAATTAACAGCTAAAATTAAAGTGAGTTTAGATATTCACATACTCTGCTGCTCAGTTACTGTCTACACAACACAGCACCAGGAGCTGAGGGAATTATAAACCATCACTGTAGGATACACCTTCTTTTCTTCTCTTTACAAGTGTTCAGCTCATGCAAAATAAAAAAACCCAAGCAGGGATGTGATTTCTACAACAGCAACTCAATTAAAAGTGTTGTTTCTTACATCTAAGAGCTGCACAACAGTGTATTTTAAGTTCTCATTACAGCTACTTAACTCCTGTCTCTATTTCAGGCCTTTCCTCTTAGGAAGGTACTTACATTTTGTAATAGAAAACCTTGGACTCGCCAGTGTTAGCTGCTGGAATGAGGTGTTTGTCCAGTACATCCAGAATGTCACAACAGATTAACTTCAGTTCAGTCTCAACCTAGCAGAGAAAAATAAAAATACAACAAAAAATTAGAAGCAAGGGCAAGGTGAGCACTAAGGCTAAAAGCTTTCACAAGTACCAAACAGGTAACATCATGAAATTCCAAAGAGGGTTAAGACAGAAGAAAAATAAATAAAATGCAGCTTCTCCACAGGTGCATTAGCAAAACAGTTCTGCACATTTAGCTGGCACACACAAGAGGCAGGGACTGATGGATGATGAAATGTGGAACTGAACAGTGGAACTGTAAATTCCTCTGAAGACATCTTGCTAGACACATGTCTAGCAAGACATTAACTGTGTCTCAGGATGTAATTCCTTACTGCAAGGCTTGCACAACTCATTTCCTCCCATTTTTGATCCCAGAAGGCTGCCCTAAAAGTGGCAACAGCAAAGGGGACAATTTGAAGGTAATTAACACAAATCAGCTCAACTCCATTATACCCCAGAGTTAAATGGCACCCTCACAACAGGTTCTGGCAAGTCCTTGGAGGCAAAGCTCTGGAAATAGAACCTTAAGACAAAAATCATGGGAGTATCAGAACAGAATCAAGATGTGCCATACAAACAAAAGTCAGGTACAAGACAAAAACAAGCTCCAGAAGCAGGTGGAAAACACAAAGTGCAGTAACTCAGCAAAAAAAGCAGAAATTATCAACACTGACAGTGAAATCTGCGGCCAAAAATACTGTATATAAAGCCTTATTTAAAAACAGATACTGAATTTGAATAATCTAAACTGAAAACAGTTACATGAACCTTCATTTTCTCCAGTTCCAAACATAAAGCAAGGTCTATGAGGTCAGGGTTTACCACAGAGTTTCACACCTGCAAGCAAAGAAACTGAACACACCCAGAAAAGCTGAAAAAAACCCAAAAAACTAAACAAAACACCAAACCAGCTGAAAAAGCTCCTCCTCTGACATTGCCCAAACCAGATGGGCTCTGAGCCCCCTGGATCAGTCCAGTAGGAGTGGTTGGTTTCACAGGAACTTTCACAGCTACAGCTGAAGAGAACTCTGGCTCAAGTTAATTTAATTTAAAGGAGAGATTTCAAACAAATGCATTAACAAAACTACCAGGAACTGCAAGTCTTGGATCACAGGAGCAGCCCCACTCAGTCCATCATCCCTTCCTAGCCTCCCACCCAAGCATTTGCTTTCCTTCTTCCTTTAGGCATTTTCCTTGCCATGGAATCCTTTTATCACAACACAGTCCCCAAACTATCTGGGTTTGCAACCACAGCAGTTATACCCAAAAACTGTTCAAATTACAGATCCAAAATAAATAATAAACTGGCACATATACACACATATTGACTAGTAACAAATAACAGATTTGCAGAAGTTCCTTTAGGTAAATTAACTGTCAGCGAATTTCATGTATAAATGTCAGAATGCCCTGACATTCACAGGGAGAATAAGATGCTGTACTTAATTATGTGACAAATGCTTAAGAAAGGTGCTGAAATATGGTCACTTGAGAAGAATCTAATTCATATATTCTTGGGCTACAAAAGCTATAAAACCTTTGGCCAGCAGTCAGTTCCTGCAAACTTCTTTCCTCTTGATCCTCTTTTTCAATGACTTCTTTTGCAGAGAGATCTTCAGCAAAACTGCAAAGAATTAAATCAGTTTCTAATCCTCTTTAGTTAAATAACCATACATGTACAAACTTCTATTTCATCTCAGACAGACCTTTTCCAGCTTTGCTTAAAGGATCAGTCACAGTTATCAGAGATCAGCTGCTGTCCAGGGCAATGGAAATGTCCTGAGCAAGCTTAGTTTAAAGATTTAATATAAATCAAGGTGATTAAGAGTAAAACAAATAAACAAAAAACCCACAACAAAACTAAAAGCTCTTGTACAAAAGGGATTTGTTCCAGAGTGGCTCAGTGAGCACTCTCTAAGAAGGGGGGGCGGAGCAGAGCTTGGCAGCTGCCCCAAAATCCAGCCCAGGTTGGAAGTCAGAGCACTGGAAACACACATTCCATGTGCCACATCTCCAGAGCAGGAAGGGGAAGGTCAATACCTGTGCTGTGGTGTGGGAATGGATCTGGTTTAGCTGCCAGGGAACTGCACTGTGTGCAGCCACACCCCACTGCAGCCTCTCAAGGATGAAGAGCACCAGCCTCAATGTGCTCTCATGACAGACGCAGCCAGATGAGAAATTATGGGGCTTTTGTGTATCCAAATGGCCACAGGAGCCAGGAGAGCAGCCTGTCTACAAAGGAAGCACCTAAGTGGCATTTTCCCTCATGGCTGTGGATGTGTTTGGCTCCACTCAGCTGACGTGGTTTGGGAAGAGGCACAGTCTGGTGTCTTATCTCTCACTACTGCCCAGTGCACACCTGAGACAAGGCCAGCCCAGCCCTGCCCTCCCAACACCACCATCCCTCGAGCTCTGCCCCAAGTCATGCTGGCCACCAGCTCAAAAATCTCCCAACGTGAGCCATGAGCCGAATTACAGTAAATATTGACATACACCAAACCCAACAAAGAATTCTTTCACAAAAACCACTACAGAAACTTTCAATTCCTACTGCAGCAGCACTCTACAGCTGAGCAAGATCACAGCTGCTTCTGGTAGATGAGATGTGTCTTTTAGAGAGGCTGGCTCTCTCTAACTCCCCAGCACTTTAAACTTGGCCTTGCTGGCTCACAGACATGGTTCAGGGGTTGGGGGAAGGTTTGGTTGGTTGGGGATTTTTTCCCTTCTTCAGAGCCTTTCAAGTCTGAAAAAGGTTTCCCCAACACCCAACTCACTCTGGGAAATGCTACAATAGGCAGAATTTGTTGACAAGGGAATCACAGTGAGAATTCTGCTGGAAGCTGTTTCTTCAGAGAAGCACTGAGCACAACAGGACAGGAGTGCCACTGTTCAGCAGTGACAGTGAGCAGCGGCATCCAAACCTGTGCCATGCTCCTCAGGCTCTTCCTGCTCCCAGGCCATCCTGCCAAACCCATTCACACACTCGGAGCAGATGCCAACCCATATTAAGTCTCCCAGCAGCTACCAACAGGATCTGGCTTTCAGCTAGAGATGATGCTCAGGAACCTCTTGTAGAACTCCCTGTGGAGCTGGGCAGACATAGCCACCCTTCCTCCAGTGTGGAACCAGTGACAGAGTTCAGTGCACTGCTCCTCCCCATGCAGCTGTAAGAGCTGCTCCCTCTGAGGATTTCACAGCTCAATACCCTGCTGGCATGACATTGACTTCACGTGGCCTCTCTTCAGACACCTCAAGTACAACAAGCGCTACAAACTTGTACTTCTTGCACCCCAGTCCATCCAGAATGGCACAAATCCTTTACAAAAAGAGATGCAGAATAAAGGCTATTTCTAGAGTCCTTTCAAAACCAGGAGAAAAGTCTTTTCATCATTAAAGGATCTTTGGCAGAAGATGATAACCACCTACAAAACCCTGTGCAAAAGAATCTGGAAACACACAATGTAAAACAAATTTAATCACTGGATAGCTGTTGTCTTGTTTTCTATGTTCTTTTAGGAGATTGTAGATACCCATCAAGAAAAGGTTATTTGGGACTGTATGTAACTGGCAGAGTCTCATCCCATCAGCATGCCAGCATAAAATTAGAAACCCACAACTTTAACAATTCCATGGAGCAACAGAAACCCTGTGAGTCAACAGAAAGTAGTCCAGAGCCATTCCTGGGAGAAGATTTCCAAGCCAAGATCATTCCCATTGCTGGTATATGAATCAGTGCCAGGTGATATAAGACTCCACTGTTTCTCTGGAAGTGAAGATGTGAACCATGTGGAGGCACTTGTCCTCAGATAATGGAGATGAAGTCTCTGCAGAAATGTGTGGGATTTAAATAGTATGGGAGCATGCCTGCTCCATGCTAAACCATCATTTAGGGCAGAGGGAACACCAGCTCACTAAGAGCTGGAGGTTTCATTAGCCCTTACCATTGGAAGTCAGAGCTTGCTGCAAGTTCTCCATTTTAGGTAAAGCTGCACACACTGACTAAGTCAGCATGAAGTTATGTGGATCAATTTTTCCCTCTCTCTCCAGAGAGAGAAAACAGCAAGGCCCTGGGGGTTGCTACACACACAAGTTCCACAGATGGGATGACGAAGACATCCCCAGGAACAGGAGTGACAGAAGACAAGGAGTCAAGACGAGCACTGAAGAACATTCCTCATGGACATTTCAAGTGTTAATGTTTTGAATTCTCTAGGACAGAAAACTGGAATCACAGAAAGTGTCACTGTATGATCCAAATCAACTTTTATAGGAAGTGGAAGTCTAACAGCCAAACACCTCCTTTGACAGGATTAATAAAAGAAGAAGTTTCTTGGGGTCAGTGAGGTTGGAGGGGAAGGAATGAGGCCCCCTGAGCAGGTGGAGCCTCACACCTGAGTAAGCAGGGAAGTGCCAGTGCAGTTCAAATGCTTGGCAGAGCTGCTGATGCAGTGAGGGAAAAGCCCTCCCTCCCCTGAGCCTGCTGCCCTTCTGAGCGTTTACACAGCAACACCACAGCTCTCCCCTTCACCAAGAGATTTATTCTCCAGATAAGGAACAAGCTCCAGCCTTCCAAAGTTGCCACACCATTCCAGGTCAGCACAGTACAGGACCACCAGGGCAGTTTATGGCAAGGGGACCAGAACTAAGTGATATTTTGCTCTAAGATCAACTCCATCTTACCATTTGCCGATATTCCCGAATCATTTTTAATTTGTCTTCTCCACCTTTGTTTTCTTCTTTCTGTTCAATGCTGCTGATTATTCTCCAGGAAGCTCTCCTGGCTCCAATCACATTTTTATATGCAACAGAAAGCAGGTTTCTTTCTTCCACTGTCAACTCCACATCCATTCCAGCCACCTTCTTCATTGATTCAACCATTTCTAGGAGGAAAAGGTCATGCAATTATTCTCACACCTGAAGCATCTTTCAAATCACTCAGTACAAGCTATACATTAATGAGAACTTCAGAAATTAATTAGACTCCCTCCTCCTTTAATCCAACTACTCCTCACTTTTACCCTGGAGTGTTCCAAACAATCGACCAGCACATACACAAAGGAAGTATCTAATAATCATCTCGCATTTTACAAGGGTTCCAGAAATTAATAACAGTTATCAGCACAATCCTACAGGAGTGTGTGTTCTCCAGAGTGCTTTGGAAAGAGCAGAAAGCAGTGAGAAAAGATGAGCAAATGTGATCTGGATGTTGGCATAATCAGGATAAATTTGAGCAATTACAGGATGCTCCACCGATTTGTCAACTGGAATACAGTGTAATGTGCTAATTAACAAAAATATAAAATCCATATTTGAATACACGTAGAGATGTACAAGTACTGTTATTAGGAAAGTGAGTCAAAGCTGCAAGATGAACCTCCAAAAGAATAATTTGGTGCTTGAAGTGGTAATAAAGAAGTCAACCTGAGTGTACCCACAGCAACCGTATGTACCTATGCCAAGCAGCCATTAACACTGAAAAGTAGCACACAAAATACGAATATATATTTGTATTTTAAACCTGTTGAAAAGTATTTTTAAACCTGAGGTTAAAACAATCAATACCAAAACCAAAAGGAGCTTTCCTACATTCCAATGGAAGCAAAGAATGAATCACTTAAGGAAGGTTATGACCCTTTCATTACCTAACCACACTGGAATTGTTCAAGACACATTAGAAGAACAGTGTTATATACACAAATGAAGCTTAACTATAATTTTTTGCCCTCAGATGTCAAAATCACAACCTTAACAGGCATAAGCTACTGCAGCAATGCAGACTGTAGGCTCCCTGTCAGAACAGTGTTATCAGTCTCCAACAGGTCTCCATATGTGGAGGAGAAAATTTTATGGTGGCTCTATTTTTATCAGCAGATTTTGCTTCTCCAAATCACAGAATCTAACAAAAAAATCCACCAAGGATTTGATAAACTTGTTGAAAACACCATCCTGCAATTGCAAAATGGTGAGCTGCTTTTGCTGAAGAATCTGAGAGCTGCCCTAGAACATTCCATGTTCACACAATTAATATTAACATAAATATGATTAAGTAATGGATGACCGCTAAGTTACAGGCAATATAATATAGCTACAATTTGCTACTTAAATAAAGCAAGTACTGAGATTCATTTCCTGAAGGATGACCCTACCATCCCATTAATACAAAAAAAAAAAATCTACTTAAAAGCTGTGAAGTTTTTAAATTATGCAAATTAAGCCATCTCATATTTTGAAGTTTATTAAACAACAGAGCTAAGCTCAAGATTAAGAAGCCTGACAGTTCTTGTGGAAAAAAATGACAATCAGGAATTGAGACTTGCAGTCTCCATGATCTAGGTATCTTTGTCAAGCTCCAGTAAAAAATGCAGGTCTTGTTTTTAAGCCTAATATTTACTGCCTTCAGAGAAGCAACCCACAGGTTACAGAGGATGCTGCCTTTTTTTTTAAAGGGTTTCTATTATTGTGCTTTATCCACTGGGATTAAATACACAGCACTTCAGTCATACTCTTGGGTATACACAACACTTTTATAGAAAACTTGCCTCTTAATGAAGACAACAGAAATCTATTCACACATGACACATGTGTTATCACACATAACAATGATATACATGGAATAATTAGTCCAGAAGTGTGGCTAAGGAACATGTACAGCAAGAGTTCCCAAGATTTTCTGCCCTGTATCAGGAAACTGCAACAACTGGGGCAAAAAGGGCATGTTTTATCAACTGTTCTACAGGCTTCCTTCACTACTTCTTCCTTAGAAGCACATTTGCCTAGTGTGAAAATTTAAAATAAAAAACAATACACAAAACTTGCTGGTCCCTGTAAATGAGTAGCTGTTTACAGTGTACATGCAAACACATCATTACCAGTTTAATCAATTGCTTGGCTTCTGCAGGATTTTATCTATTACCAGTCTGAAGATCTACAAGCCCTTGAAAGAGAGGTTAAACCCAATTTAGCTGAGCAATAGCTGGTACAAAGCCAAACCCAAAACCCTGCCCTACAAGGAGCTCCTGTGTCAGTGTTTCAGTCCTGTGGCATCTCTTCAGTTTGTTGGCAAAGGAGAGCAGAGCCACGGCCACGGAAACAAGGGAGCCAAAGGAGAACAGGCACCTGCTCACAACCAGTCCTTATCAGTAAACAGCCCTTATCAGCCCAACATTTTTATGACCGAGTTGTTAGGAAGTTAAATAGACTCCCTGACAAGTGACAGCCACCGGGAACAGGATGCTGGGAGGTGGGGGAGCACCTCAGGTCCCTCCACTTGTTCTGAAGCACAGAACCCTCAGCTTCAGCACCCCTCACACTGGGTACACAACCTCCCAACACTGACAACAGGAACTGAAAGGTCTCCTCTACAAAATCTTGATCCTGTCACTAGGCAACCACACAACCAGAGATTAGCATCCCACCCATAAACAACTGTCCCACCCAAAGAGAAAACATTTATCAGTCTTTATCAATCTACCCACAAAGCTGTTGGATAAAAAGGTTTCTAGTTTAGTAAAGAGCCCAATTTTACTTACAAATACAAAAAGCTGGGCTGATATTTCAACAAGACAAAATATTATGCACATACCTGCATCTTCCATGGTAAAGCCATAATCCAGCCCTGAAAACCTAACCCTGATGAAAAATCTTAAGAACACAGGCAGTACAAAAGCAAGGGGATAACCTATCTTTATCTCCTCCAATAGAAAACAAAAATAAAGACACCTACACCAGCCAAAAGAGCAAATTATTTTTCATTTTAAATGCAGTTTTATCTGTCTGGAAGTTTGCACAAGGAGGTGGAAAGCTCAGTCAGAGACCATTCAAGACAAAATACAAGTCTGAGATTACATTTCATTAAGAAGGATTACTGCAGGAATGACAACTCATTGCATACAAAATCCAGAGATGCTTACAATGCATTATGGAAAAAGTAGTGTTATGCAGATGCAGAGCAACAGAATCTGTATTTAAGTGGTTAAGTTCCAGCCTCTCAGGTGATTGTGGCTTCACTTATTATGCTACTGTCAGATCATGCCACCACCAGAGCAGGAAATCCCAAAAATGTAAACTCTGGAGGGAGAGGGGAATATTCTGGAGAATGACATGCTCGTCCTAGATTTAGATCCTTCCCCAAGCACCTGCTGTTGGTTAAGAAACACCACAACACACAGACACTGTCTGATCAGGTTTACATATTCTTATGGAAAAGCTGAGACTCAAACAACTGCCTAAGATTGTACAAAACTGATGATGGCCAGGCCATTTTTTAGGTTCCTATCGTCTACAACTATGATTAAAATGCTGGCTCCCCATTGCAAACCCTGCTGAGTCACCTCCAGCCACCAGGAGGGACACAGGCAAAGCCTGGAAAGCACAAAGGGCTGGGACAGAGGTGGCCATCTACAAAAGGTTTGTGGAACAGCAAGGTGCAAGGCTTGGGATTTAAAGTGAAAGACAAAAAATAAGCCTTACTCTAAGCTAAGAAGTCATGGGGAAGTTTACAATGATTGAGAAGCATCCTTAGGGACAAAGCCACAGAACAAAGGGCACAGCTGACTCCCTCTTGACCGGAGACGAACACAAATCTAGATAACTGCTGCTTCTTAAACTCTAGAAATCCAAAAAATGCAAAGGAAACTACAATATGTCCAGGTAAGGAAATGGGTGATGCACAGTAAATTTAGTGGGAAGACTAAAAACCTTCCCAATATAGCACACAAAACAACAAACAGCAGACCCTACCAAAAGAATAGCCATTACCTGGCAGTTCAATCAAGATCTGAGTTTGTAATAGAAACCATGTGGCCTAAGCATAGGCTGATGCACAAAGGAAAACTTGCTAAGGGAAGTTTACAGTGTTTGTAACCTCTAGCTCAGTGCCGGAGTCTCACTAACCAGGATGCTACAGGGTCAGATTTTTTTTAAACAATACAAAGGATCTAACTCAACCTCACTTCAAGGGGGAAAAACTCCCCCTTGCCTCCACATATATGCACAAACTGTAAGAATTTCAATATTACCACAGGAAAAAACAAGAGCTAGAAAATCACTTAGTTGGGGGCCTCCCTTCCAAAAGAGGAACTACTTAAGAGAGAAAGCTTCTTAAAATAAGAACAGAAAAATAACTTGTTGAGCAAAGGTGCAATTGAGATGATGTAACAGTCATCATACTGAAACCAAAATGAAACTTAAGAGAACCCAAAAAGTAGAATTCTTATATACTATGTAATGAAGAACAGCAGAAGCACTGTCTTAATTCTCCATTTATTAGCAGCAGAACATCAGCAAACAGAAGTTGTGTTTTAAGTTTAATCTTTTCTACTGCCCTTATCTAAGGGCAATAAATCAAACCAGGATCTTCAAGTTTCTAAGCTGCTGCCCAGTACCTACTTCAGCATTTCAGGAGCTAAAAGCTGCAAGTGAGCATCCTGTGAGCTGTGAGGAGGTTGGAAGACACAGCATGAAAAACAAGTCTTCCCTTGTGTCCACCACAGATCATCACACACCATAAACAGTAGACTCAGTACAAGTGTTAGCCTTGTATTTGTTCATTCTTGCAACGAACAAAAGATGATCAGAAACAAGTCAAAGGAACTTGAAGTACCTGACCCCTCTCAGTCAGGGCTTTAATAGCAGCTAACACAAAGTGGTTTACCCTGTTCATTTGAGAAGGGTTCCAGCAGACACTCAAGGGGACCTACAACACCATGAACCTAATACTCACTAGGGGTCAAGTTAATAGGAATTATATTTTTAAAAACCCTAAAATAAACGGGTATATGCATGGTCATTACAGTGTAGAGCATGGCCTTCCATTATGCCTCACAAATCTACTGGAATGCTTTGAACAAGTGAAGCACGTGGACAAGGAAGACATAATTGGAATAGTCTACCTGGATTTCCCAAAGGCATTTGACAAGGTCCCTCACCCAAGGTTCTTTAAGGAACTCAACTGCCATGGGAGAGGAAGGAAAGTCCTCACATGGATAAACACTTGGCTGAAAGACAGGAAACAGGGTACGAATATGAGACTCAAGTGCTGAGAACAGAGAAAGCCCACCAGTGGAATCAGAAGGGATATGTGCTGGGAAGCAGGCTAACACTTCTGAGTGAGCCACAGAAACAGAAGCTAATAAGTACTAACTTAGTAGCAGCAAACTCCTAGGAATGAACATGAGAAAGACTGAAGAAATAGGAGCCAGAGTGTTTTCTTCAATAAGAGATGAATGTAACTGTGCAGATTAATGCCACAGACTGCATTTCCCACAGCTACAGACCTCCACCTAGCATCAGTGGGCACCACCCTACTCACTACACTGATGAGCTCCAAATCCAACCAAGTAGAAGTTGAGCTTCTCTTTCCATCCATTAGAACTCCTCCAAACACACCATCTCACTGTCTGCATAAGGTTTTTCTGTTCTCTTAGGGAATCTTGTATTTGGTATCAGAGATGGCTGAACCCATTCCTATTGATTCCCTCCTGTCAGCTCAACACCCCTCTGACCTCTCAACTGGCTCATTCAGGTCACCAGCTCAGACAACTACTCACTGGGAAAAATAATTAATCTTTCTTCTAATTTAAAAAACTGAACTGGTTCTAAGGGTCAGACCAGAATTCAAGCACAAATCAGAAGCATTCCTTATCACAATATAAGGAATTTTTACACAACTGAGCATAAAAGAACCTAACAGGTGGATTCCTAGTCAAGACAACCAACAGGCAGAGGAGGAAAAAAAACATTGAATAATATCCAACATGCACAGTGGTTCGATGATGGTTCTGTGGACAAAGCAGAGGGTTATACTGCTACTCCTCGTGTAAGGTTTGTAACAGCTGGTGCAGTCAAAATCCTTCCAAACCTGACAGCATGACTCTGCAATAAACAGTCCTGTACCTTTACACACTTGAAGAAACACAAGTTAGGGCCAAGTTACCTTAGCAACAGTGGGATTTTCTGATGATCAATTGTATGGTCTACCACAAGTCATTCTTGCAACAATATTTTTAAATCATTCCTCTAATCTCTTCAAGATGGGGACATTTACTTTTCTAAATCAAGAGTATTTCCCCACTATTTCTAACAAACATTTCAGTCTGAAAGCAAGCATATTAAGCCTGGGCCTGATCATAAATCTCCCCCCTCGACTGAGATCTGCTACTGAACAATCCTGTAATACTGGAAACCAGTTCAGCTTCTAGCTCCTTGCAGAGGACCTCACCATCCAATTGTAGAATTCTGTTTCCTTTGTCTGCTCCTGGTACCTCAGGAAATTCAAGAAGGCCATTACAGACAAAGGCCCTCTCTCACACAACTCCTCATAATTATAAGTCAATTTATGTCCCAGTATGTACAACTCCCACTTCAAAAAAATGTACAGTCTTACTCCTTTAGCCCTGTCTGCAGTTTAGCTCAGAGACAGCAGTCACACCCCACATCACTACACCAGTAAGACCCTTATCAGGCTAAGTGGTAACCATGAACAGGGAGAGGAACCCGAAAAACTGAAGTGTGCTTGACATCTGCTTGAAAGAGACCAATCCTCTGCAAACCAAAATATGCAAGTTGAACTCTAATTCATGACTTATTGATTCCTCATTAGGCTCTAAGCTGAAGATCTGTTACTAAGAGACAGATCTTACTAAAAAGGGTTCAAATCCTGAACTGAACCCACTGCTGTACATGTTCCTACCTTCCTGATAAAGACATTTCCCTGACAGACAATTTCTAAAGACAAAGAAGGCAGCTGTTAGCCTGCTGTGCTGGAGGCAGACGTGTCCTGGGTGGGCTGGGTGTTTTCCTTACCTGTACCTTGACCTATTCTCTGGTTCTGAGGGGGAACCCCACCTATTCCACCTCACTCAGGTAATGTACTTGAAGACTTGCAGTATAAAGCAGCTGTTGGAAGTACCTGCTCACAGACTGCCTTGAGTCTTAGCAGGTTTCTCACCTGAAACAAGTATGTTCCCAGTTTCCACAAAGAGGAATTGGTTTCAGTATTCAGCAGCACTCTACAGTTCTCTACATCCTCTTGATATCAAGACCTCCACAATATCATTTACTCCAATTGTTTTCCAAGAAGGAGTCCATTTAGTTATAAATTACTCTACCAATGAGGAATAGCAGTGAGTTAAGATTTCTCAACAAGCTTCCTGCACCACCAGGAAGCTTCCTGGCATTTTGTAATTTGCCATAACATGCCTAAGCAGATCTGTGACCATAGTCAGACACCCAAATCTCTTAATATATCTCTGGAGATCAGGGTTTAAGTGCTACTTACACTGCAAAAGTACCTAGAAAGTTGTCCTCTTAATCTGGGCCACCATCCTGAGGACAGTACAGACACTGGACTAGATTCCCAACCGTTCACAAATGCAGCTCCCAAGACTTCAGAAATTCCCTAAGTGGGTCAGGCAAGTAACACCAAAGAAGCCACAGTTGGATGCCCACCATAAGTGCTGCTATAAATGCCATGAGCCATACATAAATAGCAACCCACCACTCTTCCAGTCTCCAGGAGAAAGATGGGACAGAAATTTACACTTACCCTAATGTTAAACACAAAAAAAATTGTCAAACTTGTCAAACTCATATTTTAATTACCCAAGGGACTTGTATTCCAATGTATCTGCAGCCAGTACTTACCATCAGCCCATTTTATATGTGCCCATCAATAACTCTGGCCTTGTAATTGTGCACCTCAAAGATCAAACTGAGGAGCAAAATTAGGATTACCTTACTCTTTCCTCATATTGCTTCTCAAATCACTTTGTTCACAGAATTATTCAGCAGTCTCAGCTATGATCTTGGCAGAACTGCATTATTTCACATTAACAAGAACAAATTATGCCAATCATTTTTAATTGTTTCAGCTGAACAGGAACAGAAAATTAAATGATAAAACAGTATCTACGGTACATTTTCTTCCAGGCCATGGACACGAGGGAAGTGAAGATGCATTTAGAGCAGCTGGCAGAATTATGTTGACCCAACCTGATTTTTAAAACCTCTGGAAGTCCAAAACCCACAGCACTGATTTAAACAAGACAACTTCAAGTTGTAACAAGCATCATGCCCATTCAGAAACAATACAGCACAACAAGTCTTCCACATTTTGCTCTGGGCAGCTTGTTTAGCCAACATTCATGGTACTGGGAGAACCCAGGGAAACGCTGCACCAAGGCAATAATCCTTCCCAATCAATTTTTATCAGCTGACAGGAAGTTTGCATTGCAGATCTGTGCCACAGGGTAGAGTCCTATTACCTTCTAACAAAGTGATTTACTGCTGACTTCAGAAAACCCCAGAAAGACAGTCATGCCTCAAGAGCTCCCAAGGATGATGATTCCTCCAGGATGTTTGGTTTCCACTCAAACCAAAGCCAACACTTTCAGTGGCACTGACTCATTCATACCAGGTGGAGAACCTTTCCTTCCCTCCTCAGCAGAAGTTGCACACATTCTGTGCAATATGCATGTGTCCCTCTGCCCAAGGTAATTATGGTACCCCAATACTTGGTTTCTGGGAGGCATTTTCATTCTCCAAGTCTTTCAGTTATTGCAGAGACTGCCTGACTGCTTTCTTTTTGTGGTACTATGAATTCTAAACTATTTTCCCATCAGAGCTCTAAATGAATGGAGTTTTATTTAGGCCTTCTTTTTGTTTTAGTTTCTCTTTTTCTCTCCAAAACGTGTATTTTTCAGATGTTCTGCAATGGTGCCATCGGATGTTTTTTGCCATCAGATGTTTTTTAAGCACAACTCAGTAAAAATGTGTCATTTGTTGAGAACTTGGTTGTGTTGTCTACAAAAATTTTTGAACAGAAAGCATTTGGAGTGTCTTCTTACCTCTCTAAATGAGGTGTTACTGCATTCACACATTCTATATACATATATTTATTTCACTTCAAATGAGTAATCACAGCTCTCAGGGCAAAGTAACAGTCTCAGAAGAGTCGAGAAAATTAAAGGTCCTTTCTATTATATGCAGGGGAACCATGTTTAAAAAGAGAGGTTGCAAGACAGACATTTTTGGGGCAAGAGACACCACCCAGGGTTGCCAGTTCCTCCCCTCTACCACTTTTCCCCCAGATATTAAATCATCACGGATATTAAATGATCAGGGATAGCACACAAACTTAGAGGGGTGGGAAAAGGATAAAAAGAAAACGCTGGGTAAGTAAAACTACCTGTAATAATTTCTACCACATAATGAACGCGTTTTCTTTAGGCAGTGAATCATGTACTCGGTCCCTGCAGGGTGAGAACTCGCTCTCTCTGGGTTTGCCATGGGCAGCAGGATCTCCAGCGGGGGTAGAGGCAGAGAAAGAAGCGCAGCCCCGTCCCCGGGGACCCCCAGGAGCACGGCCGGAGAGGGGCCGAGCGCCGGGCTCCCCCTCCGGAGCGCTCGGCATGGGCGTTGTCTGCGGCGAGCCGCCCTCGCCCGGCGCCGCCCGGCCGGGGCAGCGCGGGGCCGGGGCCGGCCGGACCGCCGTGAGGGACAGCGGGGTCTCTTTGTGGAGCCCCCGAGGCGGGGGCGGCTCCCCTGCCCCCCCTCCAGGACTCGCCCTTCGCGGCCGCCATTTTATTCCCGGCTCCTGCCGCCACCGCCCCCCGCCCCGGGCCCCGCCCCGGCCCGAGACACCCCCTCGCCCGGGCCCCCCATCCCCGCTTCCAGCGGCCCCTCAGGGCGCTCCCCGTCGCCATTTTGTGTGCGCCCCCTCCTCCGCCCCCCCCCCCCCCCCCCCCCCCCCCCCCCCCCTTTGGGCCCCCCCCCCCCCCCCCCCCCCCCCCCCTCCCCCGCCCAGCCGCCATTTTGTGGCCGCTCCCTCCCTCCCTCCCTCTCCCCTCGGCCGTGCACGGCCTCCGGAGCCAGCGCGCTCACCATCGTAGCGCTCAGCCTGCTCAGCCAACTTGGCCTGATAGACGAGGTCCTCCCGATCGTCCATGTCCTACGGGCGGGGCGGCGGCGGGGACTGCGCGGGGCGGATGGCAGCCGATGGGTCCGGGGGGCTCTGCAGCTACCAGCTCGCTGCTCTCCGGGCAAATATGGCGGCAGCGCCTCCTCCCGCTGCATCCGGGCACTCCCGCGGGCGCGCGCATGCGCCCCGCCGCCTCCCATGGCAACGGCGGCTCCCTGGCAACGGGCGGGGGGCGGGGTGAGGCGGCGTGAGGGGTGTGAGGGATAAAGGGAATGAGGCGGCGTGAGGGATGAAGGGGGTGAGGCGGTGTGAGGAGGGTGAGGGATAAAGGGGGTGAGGCGGTGTGAGGGATAAAGCGGGATGAGACGGGATGAGTGATGAGGAGGGGTGAGGCGGGATGAGGAGGGGTGAGGGGTGAGGCGGGATGAGGAGGGGTGAGGCGGTGTGAGGGGCGAGGCAGAGTGGATGAGGCGGTGTGAGGCGGGGTGGGTGAAGCGGTGTGAGGGGTGAGGCGGGGTGGATGAAGCGGTGTGAGGGGTGAGGCGGGTGAGGAATAACGCGGGGTGAAGGATGAGGCGGGTGAGGAATAACGCGGGGTGAAGGATGAGGCGGCCCGGCAATGGCGGGGACGGATCCGCCGTTCCCCCGCCGGCCCTGGCGGGGCCGTGACCGGGACATGGCGATGGGCAGCGGGCCCGGCCGCCGGTGGCGTTTCCCTCAGGGCGGCTCCATCTCTCCGCGTTTGTGCTGCCCTCAGACGCTGACAGCGCTGTTTGAGTTACCCTCTCTCGGAATCTGGGTACAAATCACCGCGTGTGCTGCACATGGAAGGGTGGATCTGTGACCGAAAGGCAGACGGACAGATACAGGTTTCTACAGCCTCTCCAGGGTATTTGCTCTAAGTATCACCTCCAGTGCATAGCACGTGGTAATTTCAGTTTCAAGAGGCTAGGAAATCTAGAAAGTAAATTTCACAAGTTCCTCACACAGTACTTCTGAAAAACAAAAGGAGCATTCACTTAAATAACTGAGATAATGCCTCAATTTCTGGAATCAGAATGGTTTTAGCAAAAGAAAAGGGATTATGCATGGCTGGCATGAACTTGATCTTCAAAGATCCCCATGCCTGCAAGTGTTCAAGTCCAGGCTGGATGGGGCTTGGAGCAGCCTGGTCTCATGGCATGGCAGAAGAATTTGAATGAAATGAGCTTTAATGTCCCTTCCAACCCAAACCATTCCATGATTCTATGATTTGCTCAGGGTAGCTATGAATGAAGTCTTGTCTCTTTTTCCAGTGTCTCCTTGGAAGTGCAGACTACAGATGCTCTCCCATAATTTCACTGCTGGGAGAAGTGCACAGAGACCTCTGCAAGTTTTGACAGCAGAGACAGAGCTGCCCCTGGCACCTGCTGGACACAAAGTCAGGTATCCCCATTTATTGTATTGTGTGCACTGAAATGGGCTCCTGATGGGTGACTGAGGGCACACACCTTGAACACCATTCAAAGCACATTTTTTCAGTAGTTTATTGCTGGCCTGACTTATTTTTTTTCAGTTGATGAACAAGAGTTTTAGGGTCTGCAAGATCAGCATAACCTTATGTTTTTCTTACAAATAAATCTAAACATGTGACAGAATTATTTTTATATCACTTACTTAGAAAATAAATACTCTGTTTTCAATGGATATTTAGGCCCTCTTTTTCACAGATCAGGATCATCTAATCAGGATTTCTTAAAAACAAAGACATCATGGACTAAGGTGAAAATTAGGTGTCAAGTCCAGAAAAATATTTGCTTCTTTAGATTTATTCGAAGTAAGATTAGAAAATGCTGATTTTTCTGAAATTGGGAATCATTGTAAACCTTTACTTCTGAATTGCTGGTAAACACATGATATAAAGTTAGGTACTCAAAAGGTCACAGTACTGCACAGTCACTATCTCTGTGTAAATTTTTAATACTCACAAATCACTTCTGTACTCTATTGATCATAGAAGTCTATTTTTCAGCAGAAACTTGGGGAGCTGTGCACAATAAATTAGATTTGGATCAATTTAGGAATTTTTCTGTGTTCCTTGTGTTCAGCAGGCACTCAGGTTGCAGGGAGTTCAATAATATCAATAAATCAGGACACTTCAAGAAGATTTAATTGCCAGAAGTGAGATGCATTCTTAGTACCCTTGCTAAATAATAGCATATTGTCTAAATACTTTGAATTCTTTTGAATGCACTCGTTACAGATGGCATTCAGATATTTGGAAATTGGTCAGGGATTTGGCAAAGCATGAGGAATAAACAGCCTAATCCAAGGAAATAAAGCACAATTTGTTGATGCAATCCTTGCTTGCCCTTTGCCCCCTGAACTTTCACATTAATTCATTCAACTACTGCTGCAGCCAGACCCCAGTTCAAAGGAGAGGGAATGGAAAAGGAAAAGCAGTTTTCTGCATGAGCCCTGTGCTCCATCAGCTCAGGGGAGCACTGCAAACACCAGGGCAAGGTGAAGCAGGAGGGGATGGCTGGCAGGGCCCTGGGGAAGGGCAGGCACAGCCTCTTCCTTTTGGCTGCAGGGTGCTCTGAAATTCTCTCAGCTAATGCATTAAAAGGCACCTTTGCATTGCAGCCCTGCAGTGGTTGAGCACTGGAGCAAAGCTGGGGGCTTCCACCAATGAAGAGGTTTTTTTCCATCTGCAGCTGATAGAATAATCTTTACTGTGTGGAGACACATAGAGATTCTTATCCTTGGGGCCTAAGGGCCATTGTCTCCTTGCAGTTTTTAAGGAATAGTGTGGCAAAAGTGGCTTTAATGCAATTGATGTTACAAACGTGCCCCCCATGGGATTCTGGTCCTGATTTTCTGCCCTTCAGCCCTTGACAGCACCTGCACACCTCGGCTTTTCACTGAATTAGTGCTCTCACACCACAACACATAAAAACAGCTCTTCTGAACCATTTGTAGACTCCTGCAGGAGATTCTTGATGGTATTAATTTGTGTAATTTTGTTTTCACTGATATTTCTAAGAATATATAAACAGCTTTTTATCTTCCCAAACACCCCATCCAAACAATCCCCAGGTTATTCCCTGATACACTTGTGCAGGTAGAATTGAGATCAAGAGCTACAAAATCTCATCTTAACATTCCTCACAATTTTTTTTTGAAATGAGAATATACATTTCCCCCAACACCTAGACTCATTTAATTACAGAAAGTCACCATCTTTCAAAAAAAAGCCATATTTTATTGTTTGACAAGTTAACTTAGTTACCTTGGTTTGGCTTACTTCTGTAGTGCCGTTTAATTATTTTCATACTAACATGGCCAATTAAAAATGACCATACCCCCTCTATTTTTCATTATTAAATGCAAGTACTCTAAAAACTGATTGAGAATGACTGAGTCAAAGTTTTGGCTATACTTTTATTTACTTCACGTACTATGAACATATACATTACATGCTACAAAAAATAAAAAAAGGACTTTAGCTGTCAAGAAAGTGGATAGTGTTATAATACAATGTCACATGTTCATATTTTTCTTCAAACAGGTTTGGTTAGAATCCTTCCCCAAAACCATTAACAAAAAGGAAGTGTTTTACTCTTAAAGATGATTAGAAATATTTGCATTATTAACAAATACAATTCAAACAGATTAACAAGATTTAACCAGGTCATATATTAGTAAAAAGGCTGGGGCTTACCAAAATGAAATATATATTAAAAAACCATAGCAGCCAGTTGTAATTTTTAGTGTGATATAATGTGTAAATGCACCAGAAGAACACAGTGTAATTGAGCATTCTGCTTTCATGGTGTATTTCTAGAAATTATTATTCTAGTTCTAACACCTGCCTATGCACAAGAGACCAAAACCACAGCCAAGGAAGAGACAAAAGATTGTGACCAACATTCTGAGCAATGATTTTTTTGCACGCATTGGGGAGAAGGGAGGGAACAAATAGAAGAGGATAAACAAAGGCCACAAAAGGATTTCATCTATATGTTCATGGACATAGGTTCTACCTATTTGCCTTGAAGAGCCTGACAAGTTGAAATGTCTATTTTGTCCAAATTCATACTCCTTTCTATCACCTATGAAACAAAATCACATTTCAGCTTAGAACTGAAGAGTGGAAAACAGTTGCATTAATGTATCAGTCAGCTAAAAAAACTGCTTAACAAGAACTTGGGATTCTACTGTAACAGCAGCTATTAAGACTCCTCTAGTTTCTTTATTTTGCTCTTTCAAAGTGTACAAATATTCACAATTTATACAGTCTTAACAAAAGCACATCTACAAAGTTTGCAGGGTACTTGCTAGTTAATTCAATTCATGTCTTTCATATTAAAAAGGCAAGGTTTGCATAATAAAACTAACTGATATTTTGGTATATGAATTCCTGATTGGAAAGGTACAAATACATGGGCTTTCATTAACTGCAGTTGGCAAAAATACTTCAAACATTGTCACTCTAAGGAGACACTGTTTATTAGGTTTCTTTTGCAATACCTGAAGAAAAATATAAGCATATTATGGGCAACTGAAAAACTCAGTATTAAGTGTATTATTTAGAGTGCAGCTATTGAACAAACCCCTGCAGTTACAGTGAATATCAAGATCAGAGGAAAACCATAAATCAGCCTTAAAGAACCCGATGAGTTACAGAACCTAGAGTTAGTTTTGCATTTTATGTCCCCTCAAAGTAAATTTTGTACTAAGCTAGAAGAGCTCCCACAATCACTGGCACGTCACCCGAACCAGAAGAGCAATCCAAGGCAGAACAGAACTGCAATTCCTTGTTTCCATTCTTACCCCACTGTCCCTGCTGTCAGTTTTTGATAATAATCCTCAGTAGTGTTCATGAGACTGGTGATGGACAAGTGTGATTAACATTCGTCCACAGAATTAATGAGTGCCCATAACCTGAACATTACTCAGACTTGCTGATGGATTAGTTTTGAAGTAAAACAACTAGTACTTAAATAGAACAGAAATATTATAATTTCCAGCATGTTGCAGAGTTCTGAGGTAAAGTGTTACCAGTATTGTTGTAGGGTTGGTGCCTTGCAGCAAAGGCCTTTGCAGCACGTGCAACCCATGAGCCATTGGGGTCCCACAGGTCTGAAGCAACCCAACCCAACAGTTTCAGTTTGATACTATCTAGAAAAACCCTTCTGCATGGATTATACTGTAGTCAAAGTTACAAAATTTAGTTTGGTCACCAGAGTTCTGTGCTTGGAAAAAACCCAGGGTACAGGCAAGGGAGAGTTACTTCAGTGTTTAATTTCAGTTTACAAAACTTACTAAATCCATTCTGATTTATATTAGAGAAAACCAGATAATTAGAAGAACAGACTAAAAACCAACCATCAAGCAGTGCATAATACTGCCTACTCAATGCACTGATTTTCATCATGAGCTAGGAAGCCATATTTATTATGCCTTTTGAGAATCAATCCAGAAGCACACAATTATTTTCCATTAGTTTATTAAAAATAAAATCCTCATGAATTCACTATCAATATTTTACAGATGGGAATTAAACCAGAAGAGTCCCCAGAGTATCTTTAAAATAAAACTAATATTTGGTTTGTCAGTTCATCGTGTTTGACACTGATTTGTACTGTAACAGTATTGTACAATATTGAAGAATTCTAGAAAAATTAAACTAGCCCTACACAATTTAATTTTATTGGAAAGCAGTGTCAATATTTTAGTATATTTAGTGAATCAAACACTGCTTTAAAGCTACGTATTAAAGTGCTATGCACGTATTTTTCAGCACTGATATGGAGGTTTACACTTCCATAAGCCTTGTATTTGTGGATAAAAGGAGATACTGCGTGTTAATAAAAATCTTAAATTAAAATCAGCTGCTATGTTTGAAGCATCAACAGTACTGAAGAAATCAATCTAGTGTCCACAAGCTTCTAGAATTCAGAGGTTGATTGGATCTGTCATTTACCATGAAAATGGTAAGGATCTGTAAATCATAAGGCTGTCCCCGACGGGCCCTGCATCAGTCTGTGCTGTGCACAGCTAACTGCCCATGCAGAGCGCTGCGGAGCCTTTCTAGGACAGAGAACCCAGGATGGCAAAACACATGGAGAGAGCTCCAGGAAAAAATTTGGGAAATTTCTACCAAGGTATTGAATTGTCTACAGTTGATCTTCATTGCCTGAGGAAGAAGCAACATAAGCAATGGGCCCGGAGAGAGCTATAAATGTTCTCTGAACACCTACAGCACTGCTTTCTCCAGCTGCTGCTGCTGGCAAGGTCCAGGCTGCCGTGCACGTGGACATAAGCAGGCATTACAACCTAGAATCATGGCCTAGTTCTGCCACTGGACACACGAGTAATCTACTGTCGTACCCTGAATTACATGACCCTTGCTTAAGGAATGGTGGTGTTGAGTCCCAGGGGTTTGCAGGTTATCAGAATGCTTATCCAAGCAATACCACTTGCAGCGTCGGTCCGAGCTTAGTCTTGATGGCATCTGCAATAAAAACAAGTTGAGATTGTTCCCATCTGTAAGAGCAACTGTTGAGCCACACTCAGCTGAAGTCCTCGTCAGGATTCTGTTGATCCAGCAGACGGACGTGTGTGAATGGAAAGTGACCACGTCTGCCATTACATTCTCCTTCCCACTGACCACTCATGTTAATCTTTGTGACCTTTACCAGCTCACCGACCTGTGGGGAAAGAGACACACACGTTACAAACCAGAGACACAGGCAGGATGAGCTGCCACCCCTCCCTTGGTGTGCTGTCACCCACGTGCACCAGATACACACCTATAAAAAGCAGCTTTAGTCCTGACAGTGTCTGAGACACCAGCCTGCCCCCAGTGCCATTCACTCCAAGAAAGTATATAAAGAAATGTATCTAGATCAGGTGAGAACTACCTGAAGAGCCAGCAATCCAAAACACATCTTTCCAAGAGCTCTTGGGACCTACCATCAGGTGCTGCCCTGATAAATGTGCCTTGCTGGGCTGACAGAGGCCTGCACACTGCTGGGACTCCATCCAGAGCCTCATAAGGCAAGGAAGGTTTGCACCTGGACCAAGTAGACACTAATCTGCAAGCTCAACTGCTCCTTAGTTTTGAAATTCCACTTTTCAAGTTGTGGAAAGTGAAGGATCTCTCTCTCTTCACATATTATAAGAAGTGTATAAGAACTGCCATAAAGCTGCTCTGCTCTTGTTCTGGGCATCCACATTCAGCCACTACCAGAGGCAAAGCCAGATGGCATTTCAGTCTTTCCCAGCATGGATTTCTCAGAGAAATAAATCACACTGAATCACAGAATTGTTTAGGTTGGAAAAGATCTTCAGGGTCATGAAGTCCAACCACTAACTCAGCACTGCCAAGTCCAGCACTCATGGAAATAGTAAAGACAACTGATGCCCTCTCCCGCTTGCCCAGGAATACATCTCCTATTCTAATCTCCACTCTAATATTGCCAGCACCAATTCCAAAGGCATCACCTATCCCCTGTGACATGGGGACAAACTGCACAGCAGGCACTTCCCCAGGGCTGTGCAGGTACTTCAAATCAGGACATAAGTCTAGGTTTGATCAGTCCCCAACTCTGTTTCCTATTTAAGGGTGCTTTAATTAAGTGGCACTTACACAGCCCAAGGAAGCACAATTTACATTTTAAAGACACTCACTGGAGAGTTAATGAATGACCACTGAAAAGCTGTCTATCCATTTCTACCCCTCTGCAGAATTTTATCAGAATTAATCTGATTTATGAGTAGTGTACAACAGTTTTTAGAGTTCTTCCCACATCACAGATGGATGCTTTTGGGATAGATATACTTTATTTTCTTTCGCTAATACTGTAAATAATCTCTGAAGGCGTGGCCAAAGGCCTTGCTGCATTTCATCCAGAAATTCACTGAATATAGTTATAGTTTACACAGATGCTCATCACTGTGTTCCAAATCCATCCAAAACACAACCTCATTATTTGCACTTTCCAGGCAGCCAACAAAGAACAAGGAAAACAATTTCAGATGTTACCAATCTCCACTAACTTTACAGGTTTTTAATCACTTGAAATCTTTTGCCAGAACAGCTTTTAACAGTTCATAAATTCAACCTCTTTCATGGATATTTAATTAAGCTTCCCATACCTCTCATGATTACTTATCTGGTAATGAGAGGCCCATTGGGATTCTTGCTGTAGCTTTATTTTTGCCTTTTGTAATCATTAGTATAGACATTCTAACGAATCATATTTTGAAGAAAATCTTCTTATGTATTAGCTACAGGCAAAAAGGAAGCCTTCCTCCAGTTCTGAATGCAAGCCTCAGCTCTTTAGGAATTTAATCATGCAGTTTGTATAATTTTGCTACTGCTAATAACCACTGGGGGGTTGTACCAACAAAAATACTCTGCTGACCGAAACAATACATCAGCTATAATTTAACAAGGATAAGATTCAATGTGACAATACTAGAAGTGGAAAATCTGATTTCCTAATCACAGCCATTACCAGAACAATGTCCCAGATAACTTCAGACTGCTTCAGACCTGGATATAATCTACAGATCAGCCTTCACCAGAACAGTGTTTAACCTCCAACCCACTGGGAAGGGAAAAGCACCACTTGCACTGAAGTTTGCTGTCTAAAGACTGTTGGCCTCTGCTCTATCACACCCTAATTAGTGTTCATTAGGGTTTATCCTGGATGCCTTAAAATAAATTCACCTGCAAAAGGTGGGTTCAACAGAGCAATGACACTGAGTTTGGGATGCTTGTGAAACTCCCTTGCTCCCTGAGCATCCTGCAGCTGGTTTTTTGTTTCCAGGGGTGTTTCAGGGTCACTGCAGCCAAGGGACACTCAATTATGAATTCCCCTTACTATACAGAGCTACACATGAAAGCTGCTTTTCAGTAATTGTTAACTGAGGAAAGACATCTGAGATCAAATATTCCTTTTTTTTTGCCAGTAATTTCATTTGGAAAACACACTGGTTTTATTCACATTTCATTTATATAAATAAACCTTCTTATTCATTCTTACATATCTATTTATATATCTTTACATCTGTCAAAGCAGGACTAACTTTAAGCAAGCATGAAGCATTTCACAAATGATGCCTTAATAAAATAGCTCCATTAGATCCTGACTAACTGAAAGATCTTTCTAGATCTGCTTCAAACCTCTGCCTAACAAGCTATATTTCAACTACTCTCCTGAATACAATATAGAGAACCTTTCCAAAAATTGGTTATTATTACAAGTACTGAAGTTTTGAAGCTTTAGGCTAGGAGTGGATATTGTCTCTGAATTCTCCTCACTTTCAGCATTGATTTATGGCAACATTAGTCCATAGTGCATCATCCCACCAAGCACAGCACCTCAGGAACAACACTGTACCCTGCTAGAAAGCCAGGTCTCAGTCTTCATCAGAAGTTTTAAAACTAAATATACCCCATATGCTTCAAAGCAAAACTGAAGGTTCAAGTGAAGACTTCTGTATGTTGTGGTTTTATTCCAAGTACTCCTCTTTGGTGAGGTCAAGGTGGCAGAGTTCTGCTACTGTTACAAAGAAAAAAAATAAATCCATCGATCTCAGAGTCATTCACCACATAGATCTTCCCTTTTCCTCATCTATTTTCTCTTAAACTAGACTGAAAACTCCTTGCACAGGTCCAGTTACATGCAAAATAAATGTTAACTTCTCCTGCTGAATCTTTTTTCCATAAAGAGCACAGACTTTATTAGAGCATCACCTGCTCTGATCCTCCTTCCCTGAACTCTTCAAAAGCATGTCAGGCTTAAAATAACAGAACAGCACAGATATTCTGTTTGCAGTTTGGGCAAAAACTGTTTGATGTTAAGAATCTATTTTTCCAAGAGAAACAGTGGGATCCACCCCCACCCATGCATATTGCCAGATTTAAGGATAAGAGTTTTCATTTGGAAAGAATCCCACTTGCTGTATTTATAAAGAGGTCTGGGCAAAAATGATTTGCTAAGATTTACATAATGCTCTCTACTAAGTTATCTAAGAAAGAGATCTCTAAATAAACAGAGAAGGAACACCATGAAGTGAAAGGGAACGTGGAGAAAGGAGACAACAAGAAACAGCACTTTGATAGACAGGATGAAGAAAAACTTGGGAGAAAATGAAGTGGATATTGCTTTTTTTCCTGTACAGACATTGAAAGCAACTCAGTAACATTGTGATTGGAAGTGATAAAAGCTGCAAAGCTTTGAAGGCCACTCAAAGCAGTGATAAATGGCTCGCTCACTTTTTAAAACTAAATGTTTGCAATTTTGCATAGAGAATTAAGAACCACTACTACTATTGCATTTCTTAAATGGAGAGCAAGACAAGGATCTAACACTCTAACCAAGAAGGCCAGGGTGTCAACTGATAAATAGAAGTAGTTTTATGAGGCCCAAAAAGGCCATTTCTGGACACCAGGAATCTCCTGTGGTCACACAGCCAAGCTGAGCTGAGACTTCTCAGCTGTTCCTCCCAAACACTTCAGCTACTCAGCCTTTCCCAGACTCTAGAGGTGTAAGGTAGATCAGAAAAGAGAGATGTTACCCACAGAACTGCTCTTCCTACAGCACAGCACTCTTGCCAGATCATGTGAGTTTTGTTGAAGAGGACTGAATTAACCTCAGATCAGCCCTGGCAACCCACAAGCTGTTCTCCAGCGTGGACAGCATTTCCTTTCACTCTAAGTTACTTATGGCCTGGATTAGCAGCATTTCCTCACTCTCCCTATTTCACTGCATGCTCCCAAATCCTGCACTGGGCAGCAGTGTGGGGTTCTTTAATGGAATAAAGTGTGAAGTTAAAGCTTAAGAGAATGCAAAATTTAGAAAGAAAACCAAAAGGTTTTGCTAAATATGCCACAACAGTATCCAGAGGCTGAAAACCAATCTAACATCTGGTAATTGCAACAGCCTGCATTTAGGAATATTCCTGAGCTCCAGGAGATAACTGGGAGGAAAGGATGAGAAAAAAAGGGAAAGAGACAGCATTTTAACCTTTATGAGAGTTTGAAGGGTAAAAATCCTCCCATTTCCTCAAAATCTGGTGAGTCTACATCAATTTCTCTACCTGCTTCTCAACCCAAAGATATTCGGACCTATAACAGAATGTGTAGCAACTCAGAGTATATTTACTCAAGAGTATATTTACTACCTATAACTCTCAGAGTATATTTACTACCTGCATGGGGAAGATTTCACATCTGCCAGGCTGTACATCAGTTTTCCATCTGCAGCATGTGCTGCATCTCCCATTTCAGCACCAGACACACACCTACAGCTGCAAGATCACTGAAGTCCTGGAGTGCCTTTTGTGCTATGCACAATTACACAAAGCATTTGAGAGTGCAGAGGAGATGCTCTGACTCAGTACAGAAACTGTTTTCTTTCCCAAGTACTTAAAATGTTATATAAACAGGAAGTCAATTAGGTATCAGGAAATTCCAGAGCCTCTAGCTCAAAGAAAGCCTAGATTAAAGGATACAATTTACATATCCTAAGGCAAAGGTCTGCCACAGGGAATACCTTAGTCTCAATTTCCTCAAACGTAACTTGGGGGAGAACTATCTGATGTGGAAAGATCAAGCACTCCAGCCACCTTTTTAAGAGGAAAAACGACAAATCAAAAAGGGTCTGAGCAATTGCTTGATCCTGTCAGGAAGTGAATCAACTTGGGGAAAACTCCGTGCTTTACTACAAACCCTACTCATCAATCACTGCTTTATACCAGACCTAACAAACTGTGCTGTAAATTGTAAAATGCTCCAGCCTCAAACCTAAACCCAAAGTAATCTGTGAGGTGATGTTACAATTAAATTCTATATGTGATCATCATCTCAGTCCAGGTAATTTCAAAGTGTACCAATGTTTCCACTGATTGCTTTAAAACTGCTGACACATTGGGAAGAAAAAAATACCCAACACAACACAAACCAACAAACAACCCAGCACACCTTGTACAGATTGTGGTGAGGCACACAACAGCAAACACAGGTTCAGACACATAATTTATGAGCTGCTCCCTCTCCCTCCCTCCAAAATAAACATTTCAGAACTGAAAACATGGATGGGGAAACACTTTTGTTAGTGATGATTGACAACAGACACGATACTGGTTCAGTAACCTAATAATAAACAATAATCTAATTTACAAGTGACTCAAGTCACTCATTTTATCCATAACTTATTAATCATGACATCAAACCAGTATTACAAAGCTTTTCCCTTTCTCATTCCTCCAAAACTACCACATGAGCGAAAGGGAAATCCCTTGAACAGATCTCTTCCTTCTAAGTTTTGCCCATTATGTACCTCCAAAGCCAAGGCTGTCTTGTCGTAGGCATTAGGGACTCGCTTCTGGATAACCCGGGCATAAATAGGGCCATTCTGAAGGTTAGGGAGCGGAGTGTTGATGCTGGGCTGGGCATAGGGCCCTGGCTCCGGCCCACCCAGTGGTTGTGGGTGGGAACTATCCTGGTTACCTCCAATCAGAGTGGGGACTGAAGCAGAGGAAGGTCTATACTTCTCGACGTAAGGAACGGGTATCATTCCCCTCTTCCCTTCGCTGTCTTCTGCGTTCCACCACTGCTCTTCAGGCTTATCCCGGATTCTCAGTATGTCTCCTTTCTTAAAGGGGAGGTCTTCCTCATCATTGCCATTAAAGTCAAAGAGCGCTCGCACATACTCGGCCTCCTCCTGCCTGAGGATAACCCCGCTATTCTGCCTCGAGCGCGAAACAGGTTCTATCAAGGTTGTAGTGTCCAAATAGTGTATTTTGTAGAATTCCAGTAAAGATGGCAAAGAATCAAACTCTTGGTCACCTATTCGAAATCTGGTGGGATTCGACCCTGAAAAGAGAAGGCAACATGTCAAAGAGAGCATTAAAACTATAAAACAAACATTTGTGAAGACAAATACATTTTAAACAGAAGTATTTCAACACTGAGTTTGATCACCTTGACATCATATTCAGCTTTTCTGAGCATTTTCAATCAAAGGCAGCACTATCATAATAGTGACTACAGGTTTTTTAAAAAATATTTTGTCAAGGAAGGAAAAGAGAAATTATTTGGTACTGCCCAATTTCCCAAATAATTATAAAAATATCTTTGTTTCTTTCAATATTATATGGACCCAACAGATGAAAATGTTCACTACATCAGGGTTTCTCAGGAGCCTGTAAAATTTTCCTGTTTTATACTCTAAATATAGGAAGTAAATTTTGGTCCCATTTCAAGGAAATTATTTTTTTAACTCTCTTCTACTATTTAGATTTATTTCCAAAGAACAACACTGCAATAATGTTATTTACCTGTTGTAACATCTTGGGTTAAAGGCATGAACACTACAGAAAACTGCTTTGCACAGCAACAAACAAGTGATGCCAATGAGCAACTCAAGTTGTTTTTCATTTTGATACAAGGTACCAGCAAAGAAAATTATCTCCATTCTATGCAATGCAAAACAACAATGTACATTTTCATAACAGTATGACTCAGCCTTTTAATCTCAAGTCTTGCAGCTTCTTTGCCACATTTGTCAGATGGAACCTAAGCTATAAATCCAAACCTCCAATACACTGGAATACAGATGATATTCACATCCAAGACATTACAAGCATCACTACAAGTGCAGAATATCCATTTCCAATCTGTGTGCTGTGCTTTTTTTTTTTCCATTTTATGTTCTTCAGGCTCAGCTGGGGAAAAACACACACATGATGTTCTATTTCCACCATGCCCCATGCCATTAGTTATGGGAAGAACTGGGGAAGGCTGGGGGAAGGGAGTGCAGATGAAAAGATTTATACTTTAATGAGTAACTCTTTTAGCAAGGAGATGCTTACTTTGCAAGTCTGTTTTCTCTGCAGGGAATATCTAACAGTACCAAGTCTTAGCTCTGGAGTACAAAGCTAGCAGAATCTTTCAAGCTGTCAGTGATCCAAAACTCCCTGCAAAGTGGCACTGTCAGCATGGAAAGCTAATGTTACAACAACTTCTTTCAGGAGAGCAGAAAGGGGTTCTAACAGAGAAAAGGGCAGATTCAATAGGACCAACACCCGAGAAATGAGTTCTGAAGTATCCTCAAGGAACAGGAGCATTAGTGGAGCTGGTTAAAGGAAATTTGAAGGAGCAGAACTAAGTCATTGGCAAATGCACGTTTGCATGCTTTAACAGCCCTGAAAGGCTCTCTAAAGAAATGAATACAGACACAGTGAGCCAAAACCCAAAAGCAATAGCCTTGAAAAACTGCAAAAAAAAACCCCACAAACTGGCATCACCAGAGATAAAGGAAGTTAATGTAATTATCAGTGAGAAAGGCTAGCCCAGCATGGGAAGAGAATTAAGATCCATCATATTCTTCCAAAGTGTAGTGCTGAGAGGATGCAAAAGCCCCTCAACTTTTGTTGCTGAGATGCAACTTACAGCTCTAGACTTGGCCAGAACCCTGGAATTTCATCCCAGTGGCATTGTCAGCTCTGTGGGCTCACAGGACACCGATTTTGGCTGGACAGGCAGCATGCCTACACTTCAGAACAGCTCGGTGTAAAACGGGATCTGGGAACGCTGCACTTCCACTGGAGTTAGAAGTGGGAACACATCAGGTCTCAGACCAACCTGGTGACAGAAACATGTGCAAATATCCAGCACTATTTTAGCTGTGAACCTTTAAGGATCAAGGCTTGACATTTGAGTAAAAAGTAATGAGAACTTTAAGAGCAGGGCAGCAGAGCTCTTTGCAACCATATGGAGAAGACTGAATCTCATGGAAATTCACTGACATGAAACTTATTTCACATGACTGAAACAGAGAGCCTGAAACACCAATTTACCTCAGTGAAACCTGCTACAAGCTGACTCAGCCAGGGGGCTTAGCTCTGTCTCTGCAATGTGGGATTCACAGAAAAATCTTCACAGGTCACAGGGAATGAGCAGCTCATCAGTAAGATTCATCAGCCTGGTCAATCTTCAATCTTCACCAGGATGAACAAGGCATTTTGTAGTGCCTTTTTTTTTTTCCTTTGGAACAGGTTCACCCTCTTGAATTAATGCACAACAGCCTTAGGGACTTGCCAAGTGTACCTGAATACAAGCTGGACTTCAATAAGAAAAGTCCTCTGGAACATTATGTACAGAGAAGGACCGACAAATCACTGTACTGTATCCTAGAAAATCAGATCCTAAGAGGTGTTTTGCACAGCTGAACAACAGCCAGAGGACAGAGACCCTTCAATTTTTGGGATCAGAAAGATCAATGCACTCCTTGAAGGGACAGAGAGAAAAGCATCAGAAAGGACAGATATTACACTGCCAAAGACCACAGTGTCAGAAAACCACATGCACTTCTGATGCTTTTCTTTAAAAAAAAAAAAAAGGAGGGCAGCTACGAACACCTAGAACAAGAAATCTACAAACTTAATAGAAATTAATCATCAATTAATATAAAGGCAGCAACCTCATAATCATCTGGAAAACTTAAATAGAAGACTCCTAAAATTTAGCTAAAATAGGTATAAAAAGGTCAACAAAGTTCAAAGTCACACATGGTGAAATGCAGATTGGCAATAAAATACAATTCCACCTTCCCAAGCACATAGAAACCTTTCCATCAGTTTAAGTCTTTTGTGGATCCTCTTCTTCAGCTACAATGACCTAACTGATGCTCACATGCAGTAGGGAAATTATTCCACTCTCTACAGGCTCCCAAGTTCCGTCATTCCCTGGTACAATGAAATTCAAAGATTAACAGATTTCAGGCTCAGAGGAATTCTTCAGCCTCTTGTTTGAACTGTGACACTGCTCATACCTGCAGGCCAATGGAATAATTCAGGCAAGATCTAACACAAGAAAAAGTTACAGCAACAATGTGTGAGTGGATTTTTGGGGTATAAGAGCAGTTTTCCTTCATGACGCTGGGATTTCCCTTGAAGGCACAAGTCTGAGCAGCACAGTGTGCACATCTTCTGAGGGTTCCCAGGAAGAGCACAAGCATGGAAAGGTGAGTCCAGTTCCTGGAGGAACTTCAGTAACTTCCTGTGAAAATTGGGACACTTGAGTCCTGGAAATTCTCTTTCTGCAGCCTGGCACAGCTGAAGAACTGCTCAGGGAGTACCTCCACCACCAGCACAGCTTAGCTGAGCAAGATTAACTTTTTGAGTGAGAAGCACAAAGGGCTGAGTATCCTCTTTCTTCCTTACTCCATCTCCACTGAAATAACTCCAGCCATCTCAGGATGCCACAAAAGCTGAGGAAAGAATTAAAATCCAAAGGGTCCCACAACTGAAGAATGTTTCAAACCTGGCTCATATCAGTTCTGTTTATGATGCACATTCCCTCCTGTCACAACCCTCTGACACTGTGCTGCCTTTGTGTCAGTCCGGGAAAAAGTACTTGTGTACATTTTAAATATTGTCCAGATCCTGGGGAATTAGGGCTGTAAACCACCCAAAATTCTGCTGATTGGGCAGGTGGTGAAACCACAGAGCAACTTCTCACTTTCTCAGACATTTCAGGGGGTTTGCATTTCTCTCTTCACTCCAATTATTTGTGTCAATATGGAGTTTTCTCTTTATTCCCAAGCTTTGGAAAACTTTTCCTTCACAGAAATACAGGTCTTTATTTTTGCATCTAGTTTTATTCTGTAAGGGCGGCTCCCTTTCCCAATTCAGGATGTGTTTAGGGCCACAAAAGCTGTTCTTATCACACAGGGCACCAGCAGGACACCCCAGTGATGTAAGCCACTTCCTCCTGGAGCATATGGGGACTGGGCTCTGGAGGCACCACATTCCAGCCCTTGTGCTTCCCCCACCCCCACAGGAACACCTTTTTTTCTTGTTCTCAAGTACTTTCCTACTCATGCTGAGCAGAACAAATAAATCCCATGAACACCCTATAAAAACATAAAACTCTATTGAGTGGAAGAGCTCTGAGCACACCAGGAAAACATTCACTCAGGAGTTAGACTCATTTCTGACCATTACAGTCATCATTTACATATCAGAGGATAACAGCAGATGTCTAATACAGGCAATTTAAGTAGTTTGCATTTAAATATATATTATCTCAATATAAAAATGAAAATAAAACGAAAACCCAAGCATTAGAGTGAAGCCACTCTGCTCACACATGCCTAAAGCCACTTCATCCAGGGCAGTGTGGGTATCATTCTGAAAGGATTTTATGATTGCAGGAAGTTTAGTCACAATGGAAGTGATTTAGAAGAATTCAATTCAGAATCATGTTCTTAAAACTCATAAATGTGAAAACATCAAATTCTGCATTTTATCTGTCATATCTGCCTACTTCAGACAGACAAATTTAATGACATTAAGGCTTCTGTCTTTATAACGCTCCTCTCTCAACAGAGAGGATTTCTATCTTTAGGTATTTCAGGCATTTTTTAGTGCATATCACACATTTTTACCCCAAACCCCCATGTTGCATTGCAAACACATGATATATTTAATATTTCTCCTGCTGTCCATCACCATGCTAATGCCTGCATGGAGCACCTTGTCTTGTTTGGGACTTCTTTAACCATAACTATGATACTTCATCACAAATTATCCATTTCCACTGAAAAAAAAAATGGTTTTCTTTCCCATAATTCAGTGATCTATCCTATTTTTTTTTAACAGACTAAAAAAACATTCCAAGAACACACTAAAAGTTCTGTTCAACTCTTATTTCTTTGTTATGCTGAAAAATTACCTGCAAGAAACTAGTAACTGCAGCATCAGTCAAAAGGTCAATTTAACAAAGAGTTTGCAAGTTTACTCTATACTTCAGAAATCAAAGAAAGTATTATGTTCTTGTGACATTGTGATTTTTAGGGAAGCCAGAGCTCCTCATCTCATTCATTCTATGCTGAGGTTCCCCTATCCCTGAGAGCAGCCAGAAATTTCACAGACACTGAGCCCAACAAAAATCAACCCCAGAACCCAACCTGGAATATTCAAATTTCCCAGAGACCTGCACATCTGCCAAACAACAAATTGTTTAAAAAATTGTACCATACTACAATACAGTGATTTTGTTTTTCCCAACGTTTTAGTTTAGCCACAATAAACAAGCTGGACAATTTACAAACATTTAACTCTTTTTACTGCATTAGCTTCCCTACCCAAACACAGAATCATCTTCAATCTTCTACTAATGTTTTCACCTCCCTTCCACTGCAGAACAACCGCCCACTTATTTTTTTCTGAAACAGCACCTTAATTACACTTGAAGTATAATTCAATATATACCTCCCCAGCACCTTCTTTGGTTGTAGTATGAAGACAGCCGTATCAGTGTGGAGGCATAATTTAATTAAAATGACTAAAATCAACGTGGGAGTGTCTGTAGTGCAGGAGTGATGCATCACCCCTCCCAGAACATCCAGGGGATAAATAAAAAGGAGGCCAACCAAAACATAATTATACTTTTTCAGATATATTAAGCCTGCTGTGCCACCAGCTTACACAGCTACTCTTTTAAAACAGAAGAGAATTACAAGGTACTTCATGATTTTAACCAAAGCCAGCCCACAGAATGCCACAAAATGTTACTGAGCTTAGAATGTAACAGAGGAAAAAAGTCAGGATGGCTGTACTGTTTTCCCAGAGATGAGTTGCTCACCAAAAAAACAACTGCCCAGAAGTGACAGACACTCATGACCCAGTGTTTTTTACTGTCTTGAAAAATCTAATTAGGTTGGATTCACAACAAAACATGCTGGCGACTGACTCTGCTCTACTTAACACCAGCCATCCTTGTCAGCAATTACAGCACCAAACCTCTGTCTGCACCCACATGGAACAACAGGAACCCACCACATTCTGATCCCCCACAGCAGCAATAAATTCCACTTCCATCTGAATTCAGCCACATTTAACTTCTACCTGTGGAGCTCTGTAACCTCAGTGCACTGTGCAGGTCCAGGAGGTTCCTGGGATAAACAGGGTGAGTTTAGGCTTTCCCCATTTTTCCAATCTGAAATGCTTCCCCTGTATGACAGTGCAAACCTACTGGCACTAATTTTGTTTTCTCTCAGATTATCTCCTTAGTCAATCACTCTGTGCAGAGACTGAAAAATAAAACAAGTCTTGTTACATCTTTGCACCACTGGTCTCCTATTCCACCCATAGGCTTTTATTACCGTGTCTGTTGACTTTCTGCCAAATAAATTCACCAAATCTCTTATTACACAGGTTTACTATAGTTAAAAACTATCTAGTGGCTCCTTGTGGAGATGCCAATCACACATCCACATCATTTTGCAAGGATTAATATCCAAACTCGAGCAGTTCCAGCACCAACTTCCCTGATTCCCACAGGAGTGACACCAGTGCCTTTGGACTGCACGTTCTGACACATCCAGTGGTTCTGCACTGTTGGGGTTTACTTGGACTAAACAGCAAAAATTCTGCTTCTCACAGAGCTCCCTTAGCACTTTCTGCACTTTCAGTGTTACACTTAAACGTGTTGTTTTCCTTTTCACATGTTCACTCGATGAGAAATAATACCAAACTTCTCCTTTCAAGAGGAAAGAAACTGAACTTCACATCTGATTTCAAGAAACATCCCGAAGAGTTCCCACCACTCAAACTCGAACTCAGCCTCCCTGATAACGCAAAACTGCCTTGTCAGAAGTCACACTTTGGGGATGACACTTCACACAACCACCTTCCGGCTGAGATGACACGGAAAATCTATGAATTATCGCTAAGGGGGTTAGGAAAACAAAGAGGCGCCGCGGGATGCCCAAGTCCAGGACGCTGAATTTCATGTGGCACAGAACGGCAGGTGCGGGCAGCGGGCTCCGCTCGGGCAGCCGCCTCAGCTCCGGAACACGGCTTAATTCCACCACAAAGCGCTCCACGCCTGCCAACACCGCCCGGGCGCCCAGCGGAGCCGCCCCGGCTGCCCTGCCCGGGGCTGCGGGCACCGCCAGCCCTGGGGTCACTCACCCGGGGCCCCGGGGCCCTCGCCGCCGGCCCGCCGGGCTCCCGCCGGCCCCAGGCTGTTGACGATGTAGTGCGAGACGCGGGAGCTCTCGGACACGGACAGCACGAAGTCGCCGGGGATGGTGCCCGAGTCGCGCACCAGGAAGGTGCCGTGGCGCTGCCCCTGCAGCAGCGATACGGCCTCGGCGCGGCTCAGCCGCCCCCAGTACCAGCTCGCCCGGTCCTCGGAGTCGAACTGCCCGGCCATGGGGGCCGCGCTCCTCCTCCCCCGCCCGCGGCCGCCGCCGCCGCCGCCCGCGGAGCCGCTCAAAATGGCGGCCCCGGCCCTGACCTCACCTACCGGACGTGACCGCACGCGGAGGCGTGACGTCATCTCCCCGCGCGGGCGGGGGCTCGGTGTGAGGGCGGGCTGTGAGGGCGGGCTGTGAGGGGCGGGCGGGAAAAGCGGGAGTAGCGGGTGAATCCCGGCAATCCCGGCATCCATCAGCTGGGAAGCACCGCTGGAATCACCGGGTCCAGCCCGGGACTGGACTCCGCCCTGGTAACCAGATCGGAGTGCCGCGTCCGGTCGTTTCTTGAACATCTCCAAGCGCGGTGACTCCGCCACAGCTCTGGGCAGCCCGTTCCAATGTCTGATGACCTTTTCTGGGAAGAAATTCCTCCTGATGTCCAGCCTTAACCTCCCCTGACCCAGCTTGAGGCCGTTTCCGCTCGTCCTGTCCCTTTTCCCTGGGAGCAGAGCCTGACCCCCTCACCTGGCTCCCACCTCCTTTCCAGCAGCTGCAGACAGCCAGAAGGTTCCCCCCTCTTTTCTCCAGGCTCAGGTCTCCTGGCTCCCTCAGCCTCTCCTGGTGCTCCGGATCCTCCCTCAGCTCTGTTCCCTTCTCTGGTCATGCTCCAGCCCCTCGATGTCCCTCCTGCATTGAGGGGACAGCACTCAAATGTGGCCTTACCAGTGCCCAGCACAGGGGGACAATCCCTTCCCTGGCCCTGCAGCCACACCGTTCCTTGCCTACAAAGATGGGGAAGCATCTGGAGAGAAAATCTTATGAGAATGGACTGGGGTCACTTGCTTTGTTCAGCTTGGAGAAGAGGAGACTGAGGTCAGACCTCATTGTCGTCTTAAACATCCTTCTGAGAGGCAGCACCAACCTCTGCTCTGTGACCAGGGACAGGACTCAAGGGAAGAGCAGGAGCTGTGTCAGGGGAGGGTTAAGTTGGATATTAGGAAAAGATTCTTCCCCAGAGGGTGCTGGGCACTGCCCCAGCTCCCCAGGGAATGGCCCCAGCCCCAAGGCTGCCAGAGCTCCAGAAATGTTTCGACAATGCTCTCAGAGATGCACACGGGTCTCTTTGCAGGGCCAGGGGTTGGCCTGGATGATCCTTGTGGGTCCCTTCCAGCTCAGTATATTGTGTATATTTTCATCTGTACATTAAAGGCTGCAGCTCGCTGTGTTTTCCTTCAGGGCTGTGCCAGCAGCTTCTGTCCTCATCCTCCCTGCCAGCCACATATTCCCACCCCACAGCTGTGCCAGCACAGCTGCTTTTCATGGGACTGCATGAATTGGGCCAAGGAGCTGTTCCGGGTTAAAAATAGCCCTGCAAAATAAAAAGTTTTGTTTTATTCAGGGCAGTTCACTGACTGCATTCCCACAGAGGTCTGCAACAGGGAACAGCTTAAGTTCCACTGGTGCCGCAGAGGAACCATGTGTGTGGGGGCATGGACAAATTAAGAGTTCTATTTGTGAAAACAAAGCAATATGTACCACTTTTAGACTATTCTCCAAGATCTCTTAACTGCCAGAGTAATATCTGTCAACGTGTGTAGAATTCTGCTCCAGCTCTGCTCAGTTCTGTGAGCTTTCTTCCAGAAAGGAATCCGCTTTTTCAACTATGTGGTCTCCCTGTTGCAGCACTTGCATAAACAATGTTAGAGCACTGCTATCCCTGACTCTGAGGGTGCTGTGCTCCTCCCTGCATCCAATATTCTGTTTTTTTGTAGGACCCTGTAGCTGTCTCCTGCATAGGACTCTGGCATTGTGTCAGGTTCCAGGGTTGTACTAACCTCCACAATATCCCAGTGAGAAAATATTCTTCCTTACAGGTGGGGAGTCTGTGGTTCATCAAATCCATAAGAAAACACCAGGTGCTTGCTTTCAGCCTCACAAATGAACATCCTTCTTCTGCTGATGCTGTTCTCTCTCCAGATGGGCTGGAGCTAGGAGTGAGCCTAATCTTTTTGGAGGTCAGTCCCAGTTTCCGTGGTGATGTGTGGGGTTTGCTGGCCAGCTGCAGGAATAGCACACACACTTCCATGGGTTTTTCACGGGTTTGAAAAGCTGCAGATCCTTGCTGAGAGCCCAGGACGGCAGGAGAGTTAAATCATATCCGCAGGAACACGTGTCCTTTCTGTTCAGTGTTCACAGACCTCAAACAAACAAATCAACCAATACTTTTTTAGAGCAAAATTCACCATTTTTTCCTGATTCCTGCCAGGCCGCTGCAAAAAAGCCTCATTTTTTGAGGGCCCAGAGTCTGTTCTTTTTTCCCTCTCCCTTCCCGGTCCCCGTCTCCCGATTTCCGCCGATCCCAAAACTGCGGGAATTGGCGTTTTCCATCAGGTTTTGGTTTTGGCTCAGGTTGGGACTCCTGCTGCACGAGCTCTCTCTGGTGGTCAAAGCCGGGAAACCAATAACCCCTAAATCCTCCCGTGGGTGTTTTTATTCTGGAATGATTCCATAGGATTTTGGAATCGTTTGGATGGGAAGGGACCTCGTACATTATCCAGGTGCGACCCCGAGCCGTGGACAGGGACCTTCCTCTAGGGCAGGTTGAGAGCCCCATCCAACCTGGCCTTGATCGCTTCCAGGTTATCCACAGCTCCTCTTCTACAGTCTCCTTCTCACCTTCATTATTTGTAAAAGCCTTTCCTTACTTGGCATTTCTGATAATAACTGGTAGCCTTTCCCAAATTTCTTTTTCCTCCCCTATTTAAGCTCTGCATCCCTCAGCAGTTTATTACCTTCGCCCTATCCCTGCTGCACAAAGGCTACAACAACGCAGAGCTCTTCTGCCTAAACCTGCTTCCTACAAGTTTGAAAACAATTAACATTTTAAGAATTCAGGTGATCTTTCACAGGCAGAGGGATTGCAGAGAGGAATGTGAAAGAAAAACGAAGCTCTGGGACACTGTCTCAGAAGAATAAAACTAAATCAGCTTGAAATGTCAAAGAATTCACTGCTAATTACAAGATCCTGAAAGGAATAAAGTACAAAATACTATGAAAACATTTTATTCACTCACCTAGCAGTAAAAAGCTGCAGTGGTACCCAGGTTTGGTTTCCTTCTCCTGATTTTATTATCCCTACCAGTTGGTCAGAGATTGTTTTTTCCTAAGAAGCTCTAAAATTTTGGCAGTGTCTAAAGCCACACTCAATCAGTAGAAAGTTTCTTGCTGAGTGCAATGAGTGAATCTTGAAAAGATGCCAAGTATGGAGGGCTGTAGTACAGCAATGTTCTGCCTGAGGTGACATCCAAGGGATGTTAAAATCAGGAAACACCTGGGTCAGCCCAAGGTTCATCTGCACTCTGCTGACAGCAGTGCAAGGTGACCTGGGGTCACATAACCTTGTCCCAACTGCTCCTTGAAGGGTTTGGCTTTGTCAAGCTGGTCTAGATCACATGGCAGTACTGTGTCCTACTTAGAAAAATAAAACTAAAGAAGTTCCATCTCTTGGTTTCTTTTCCCTGTGACCTAAGAAACAGCATTTCTTCCACAGAAATGTTTCCTCTTGCAATTAGTTCAGGCTCAGCTGCTCGCAGGGGGTGCCTGTGTCCTGTTTATTCCTTTCCTTTGCCTCATGTGGCCTGGAACCTGGCTTCACACCTGGCTTGGAAGTGTCACCTGTGCCAGGAGTTCCTACCAGGTGCTGCTGTGGGATGTCCATGCCAAATGTAGCACTTTTGGTGAACAGTGACAGAAGCCATTGTGTCACAAGCTCTGCGTGAAGACTTGAGAATAAATAATCTTGGAGTGAGTGATGGGTAGAACAATCTCTTGATCCTGCTGGATTTTGTGTAAGGGGAGGAGCCTTTGTGCTGCCAAGTGGGAAATGTCTTTGTGACAAAGTCTAAATTTGAATTTTCCTGGGACGTGCCATCAGCTGTGAGGGAAAGTTAAGCATCCCAGGGGATGGACTGGAGGGGGTTTATTTGTAACATGTGCAGAAATGAGGTGTGGAGCAGCGTGAGCTGGAGGGAAGGGTCCTGCAGCTGGAGAAGTAACAGGAATTCTTAGTGGTGTGACGATAACACACAATGACAGTGGGATGTGGCTGTGTAGCCTGGCAGCTGTGGTGTGAAATAATGATGCCAAGGCAGGAGCAACTCTTCAGCTAGACCAGGGTTCTGGTCTGCTGTGTGTGAGGGAATGGAGCTGATTAGTGTCAGTGGGGGAATGAATGTCTCATGGGGACTGGTGAAAGCATGTGGTTTATTTAGGCCAAGAAGAGGCAAGGCTGCTCTCCTGGAACAAGCTGAACACCTTGGGATGAGGGGACAAAGAGAATAACTGAGCCTCAGAACAACGGGATGCAACACTGCAGAGAACTGCGAGCTGAGAATTAGTTTGCTTTTATCAGAGGTGTAACATTCCTCTAGTATGGACGGGAAAATTGAACATTAGAGTTCAGATAGTTTAAAAACACATTTTTAGGGGAAGGATGTAAGTTCTGTGTCCGCTCTCCGTGTGCCTTTCCCCAGGGCCGGGGGTACGCGGGGACACGGCGGGGCCGCCCTCTCGCCCGCTGCAGCCGCGCTCTCTGCCCGGTCTGTGTGGCCGTTCTCCACCCTGAGCCCCTGGGCCCTGAACCGGCTCCGTCCGGCCCGGGACGTGCCGGGCTTGCGGTGCGCTGGATTCGCGCTGTGCTTGGATTGGGGGTGCGCTGCGTCTCGGGGTGCGCTTGGATTCGGGGTGGGCTGGGTCTCTGGGGTGCGCTGGATTCGGGGTGCGCTGGATGCGGGGTGCGCTGAGTCTCGGGGTGCGTTGGACTCGGGGTGCGCTGAGTCTCGGGGTGCGTTGGACTCGGGGTGCACTGAGTCTCGGGGTGCACTGGTCTCGGGGTGCGTTGGACTCGGGGTGCGCTGGTCTCGGGGTGCAGTGAGTCTCGGGGTGCGCTGGTCTCGGGGTGCGCTGAGTCTCGGGGTGCGTTGGATTCGCGTCGCGCTGGGCTCCAGGTGCGTTGGGCTTAGGGGGCGCAGCGGGCTCGGGGTGCGCTGGGTCTCGGGGTGCGTTGGATTCGGGGTGCACCGGGCTCGGGATGCGTTGGATTCGGGGTGCACCGGGCTCGGGGTGCGCTGGATTCGGGGTGCACCGGACTCGGGGTGCGCCGGGTCTCGGGGGCGCGTTGGATTCGGGGTGCACCGGGCTCGCGATGCGTTGCATTCGGGGCGCACCGGGCTCGCGATGCGTTGCATTCGGGGCGCACCGGGCTCGGGGTGCGCTGGATTCGGGGCGCACCGGGTCTCGGGGTGCGTTGGATTCGGGGCGCACCGGGCTCGGGGTGCGTTGGATTCGGGGTGAGCTGAGTCTCGGGATGCGTTGGATTCGGGGCGCACCGGGCTCGGGGTGCACCCGGGGGTCCCGCTGGCTCTCAGGGCCCGCTCGCTCTCGGGGGAGGCCGGCCCCGCCGCGCTGCGGGCGGCGCTCGGATCGCGGCGCTCCGCCCGCCCGGCGCTCCCGGCCGCTCTCCGCGCTCGGAGCCGCCCCGCCGCTCCGTGCCGCCCCGCGCTCGTCTCGCTGGCCGCGCTGGGCGGGCCTGGCGGAGCCATGGCGGCCGTGCGGGGCCTGCGGATCTCGGTGAAGGCGGAGGCGAGCAGCGCCACGGCGGAGCCGCGCGGCGCCGAGCCCGAGCCCATGGAGGTGGAGGAGGGAGAGCTGGAGACCATCCCTGTGAGGCGCTCGCTGCGGGAGCTCATCCCGGTGAGGCCCGAGGGGTGTGGGCGAGGAGGGGCTGGCTCCGGCGGCTGGATCCGGGGTGCCTGAGCGCTCTGTGCGGGCTTTTGGGGGGATTCTTGGGAATAGCAGGGAATAGGAGGGGGCTCGGGGGCGAGTCCTGAGGAAGCGGGCGGGATGTGCCTGGGGACGGGCGGAATAAAGGAAGCGGTGGAGAAGAGGATTTGGGGTGCAGTGTTGGGGTGTGGAGGAAGCTGTGGGTGGACGGGGTACAGGGAATGTTTGATGCCGGGATCTCAGGGAATACCTGGAGCAGGGAACAGGGGCTGACGGCGGATAGCAGAGCTGGGAGGGTGGGCTCTGATGAGCGCGTTTCCTTCACGATGTTTTTCTGCCCTTTTTCACTCGTTGATTGTTTCTCTACAAGTTTTAGTAGGATTAGGTTTAACAACTAGAAATGGGTCAGAGTTTTAAAATCCTAAGTAATCTTTTGCTCTCAAAACTTGGGTGAAAATTGTTTTGGAAGCTAATCTTTAATTAGCTTGTCTACCAACGTGCTTGTGCTTTTACACAACATGTGGCCTGAGAGACAGCATCGTGCTGTACTTCCTTGTGCTCCGTGAGTCAACCTCAGACACTGTGGGGTTTCAACGTTTAAAATCATGTTTACTTTGCTTTTCCTTTCCTAGTAACTCTGGCCATTTGGCAGCATTAGTGCAACTTTTGGTGCTGTTACTAAGAAAAGCGGTTGGATTGTGTGTGTTCTTCGGTCTTTCTAAACTGAGACTAACCTACTTCTAGAAATGGTCCTTTAGCCAAAGTAATTATTGCAGCACAAGTGTAAAGAACTCTTTTGCTCCTAAAGAAAGCAGGAGGTGTTCTTCCAGCTCTAAATTTCTGACAGTTGAGAATGTCAGAATGAAGAGGTGCCATTTTACAAATGCAAACAATGGAGGGCACAGAATTGGGTCATTGGTCCAGGGGCTGTGGGGTTTAGTCCCTCTCTAAATTCACCAGTCCTGACTGACAGAGAGGAAACTTGTAATTTTTCCCCCTCTCATTCTCCATTTTTACCCCCTCTCAGTATCAAAACTGAAGTATTTCACCTTGCGATTTGGAACTTGGGGTTGAAATAATGATAGGAATAAAATGCTACTTGTTTCATTGTGGATGTGGCTTGCTGTTCTCACTTTATGAGATTAAAAGCTGCAAACTGACATTTCAATAATCAGGTATCACTGTTAAATCTGCTCATGTGTTACAAGGAAATTATACCTAAACCCAAAATTGTGGAAGTCTTACTCAGGAAAGATGTTTGATGACTTTTTCTGTATTACTGAGAGAGTAAAAGCTTGGCAGCAGCTGACATAGAAACTAAATTCTGTCAAAGGAAAGAATCCTTACAGTGAGGGAATTTTGGTTCAGTTCATGTGCTTTTACTTTCACTGACATGAGGGTGCCTCTCTGTCCAGGGATGTAGCTTGGATCAAGGAAAAGAGATTCTGTTTCTTGTAGGAATGCTCAGGTGGATTTTTCCGTGTAACAAGTGTGTTGCTTTCAGTGCTCATTGAGATTTCATCACCATTTTGCTCTGTTTCAGGACACCAGTAGGAGATATGAAAACAAAGCTGGAAGTTTCATCACTGGCATAGATGTGACTTCCAAGGTAATTTTTGTGCTATGGCTCTTCAACATTTTGTCATTTTTGCCACTGGAGAGATGGAACCATTTCATTTCTTTCTTTCCCAACATGGACGAAGGCTTAGCCTGGTGTTGAGGTCATTCAGCTGCATGAATCACTGCATATTCCAAAGATACAGAAACCTATAGTGCTTCCTCATAAAATTTGGAGAACAAGGAGCTTCTCAGCTCCCAGTTCCCAAAATTGCACAAGTTCCAGGCAGGCTGTTATTCGTGAGCTACATAAGAGGAGCCTGAGTTGCCAGTCTAAAAAGTTCTCTGGAGCCAGTTCTCCAGTGTTAAATTCATGCTCAGAGAAACAAATTCACACTTTTGTATATATTAAAAAACAAGGGAAAAAATAATATAATCTTCAAAGATGAATTTTGCCTGTGGTAGAAAGGCTTCTTTTAGAAGAGGGGTTTTATTTAATATTTGTTAGCAAGGACTAGATAATGTTCCTGTTCCATAATGGAGTCTGTGTTTTTCAAGCCACCTTGTTTCCCATGCATCCTGATTCCCATTGCTGGACCTACACAAAAACTGTTGTGTGACACAGAAATATTTTTGTGAATTACTTCTACATTCTGAAACCTACAGGTCTCTCCAGAATTAACAGAATTGTTAATATAAATTGTTGGCTGTCTGGTAGATTTTAAGTGTCCTCAGTGCAGTTTGTTGACCTTGTTTGAGTGCACTGCTTTGCATTTTGCAGGAAGCAATTGAGAAGAAGGAGCAAAGAGCCAAACGCTTCCATTTTCGGGCTGAGGTGAATCTGGCCCAGAGGAACGTGGCCCTGGACCGGGACATGATGAAGAAAGGTACAAGTTCATCCAGCAGTCAGGAGCAAAGATCCCTTTAGTCACCCCCTCACAGTGTCTTGACTTGATTTATCCTGCAATATTTCCTACATTCCCAGAGGTTTTGCCAGATTACTGCTGAAAGGAATCACTTTGAGGTTTTTCCACCTTCTCGTTTGCACATCGTTGTTTTTTAACCTGTTTGACACTTGCCACTTCACTCCTTGTTTTACCAGCCCCAGCACAAAGATGACATTTTCGTGTGCCTTATTTGCTATTGCTCAATTCCCAGGATTCACCTTCTGGATCAGTGCTGCTTTAAGAATCTTTAAATGCTCTGTAAAAACCCTGGAGCACTGTGTGGGTACACGTGGAGGACTCTGTGTCCTGTGCACAAGGAGATCAGACTCTGTGCTGTACACACAGTGAAGCTGCACTGATGGCAAGCTGGAACAGAAGCCAGGAGATGTGTGCACAACAGATTGGTGCTTTTGGCACCCAGTTAGTTCTCAAGGCTTTTTTTCCAGCTGGCAGCTTGGACCTGCTAAGCTGTGGCCTGGAACAGCTCCCCATCAGGTGATAAAAGTGGAAGTGCTTTGTGCAGGGCCTTATTTTGTTCTGGCTCTTTAGTACTTAATGATAGCACTTTGGCAGTGATCAAAGAGGAAAAAAAAATGTTTTTCAAGCTGTTTGGTTGCTGTGCAATCTCTGTATCTACCAGTGCTTGTAACCCTTTTAGTTCTTAATTTATTGAAAGTTTTGCGTTGTGGAAGAATAAACCAAGTTATGGCCTATGCCATGCTTCTCTTTAATTAGTTCTTCTTTAGGTTATTTAAAGTATTTGCTTTATAAACTCATACGCTAATAATCTGAAAGCTTAGAATAAGTACCAGTTTTGTGTCTTTTCTTCTTTATAGCAATTCCTAAAGTAAGACTGGACACCATTTACATTTGTGGAGTGGATGAGATGAGCACCCAGGACATCTTTGCCTATTTCAAAGAATATCCTCCTGCTCATATCGAGTGGCTGGATGACACCTCATGTAAGTAAACAGAGTATTTGTAATTCTTACTCTTTTATTTAAACCTGGTCACAGCTGTATCTCTAAGGGGAAAAAGAAAAATGTCTAAAATTATGTGCTGCCTCCATCTTGACATAAATAATATATCTGAGAGAGGGTGATTGAACTGTGCAGTTGGGCAGGTTGGGATGGTTTTGGGTGGAGGAGGAGGAGATTTGTTGCCATATTTGTGTAGTGCATGCTCCAGGAGAAATGGGTGGGTGGAAGGAGGTGGCAGCTGGGTGTGATTTCCATAGATTGGAAAAGGAATGTGGGTACACATGGTGAGGGCTGTTTTGGGGGTTGAGATCAGCAAGATCAAAGGTGGTGGCAAGTTGAGCTTTCCTCACTGCCACTGAAGCCTCTAGAAGAGATTTTTGCTACAGAAAATGGAACTGGAATACTCTGAGATGGTCATATGGCTGCAAACCTTGTGCCTGAAATAATAGAAAAAGAAATAGGAGCCAGTGCAGGTTTTCCAAACAGCTGGAAACTTACTGACAAGCATGGCTAAAATCTGAGAATCAATACCTTCATTCTCTGGAGTGGCCCTGAAGAAATTCTGCTCCAGTGCAAGGCAAAATAGATGGTGACCTTGAAGTCACTGTATATGACAGCTTGAAGTACTGGCACAAGCTGATAGAAAATGTGAAACCCAATGAGCCCTGGGTGGATAATTACATTACAGAGCTGCTGGATGGACCTGTGCTGATGCATGGGCTTGAAAATGCACAGCTTAACTCTTCATTTCTAAGATTGTCTGTTTTCTTAAATGCTACATGAGTAAATTCATGTGAAAATTAAGGCTTCAGGCTTGTAACAATACCCTTCCGTGGTTATTACACATCTTTTTTAATGGTGAATTTTTATGCTGTGTCTGAGTTACCATGTCAGCTACACTTGGTGAAAATATCAAGAAAAAGCTTTTTCTTTTCAGCATGGATTTGCATTGTGGCAAAAACTTCAATGTTCTCAACTGAATTACATCTTAAGGTGTGCAAAGGTGGATTTAGTGTTATGTGTTTCAAATTGATGAACATGAAATGATGAAGGTTTTGGAAATTTGGAGGTGGGAAGATGAGGCAGACTGACAAAAAATGTAGATTTATTAACCAATCATTGAAGTTAATACCTGGGTGTTCTTCACCTTGTAATTCATGTCTGTTTGAATAATTTAAGAGAGATTCTCTTTATTTTGGGTCACTGTACAGTCTTCTTAATATCTGTTAACAGCAGAACAGAGACATTTGTTGCTGTATTTTTACCAAGTGCAGAAAGCTTTTGTTCAAATCCTGTTTCTAAGCAGTTTTAGCTCTTTCAATTTCAACATCTATGAAATGCTTTTAATTGGCCTAACAAGTTATATTTTAGTACCATCTGCTGATGCTTAAGGCTCATCCTGAATGATGTTGTGAACCTCTGTACTCTATAATCTGTGCAAAGTGCTGGAGCAGTCTCTTGTTTGCCCCTATTTTCCTGCTTTTTGGAAAAGATTAACAGAATTCTGCAGTAAAGTCCAAGGTTCTGTTAAGTTGCCAAAGGGGAAAAAGATCCAGGCTTCATTCCTGCCCCCTGCTGCTCCCTTAATCACATTTGTGTGGGAACGCATGGATCCACTGACCCCAGTCCAGTGCCCTGATTTGCTGTTTTCAGGAAGCCTCTCAAATCTAAGTATTTCAGTGTATTTCAGTGATTTTGGGGATTTGATCAGCTCTTGTGTTTTGTAATAAGCTGAAAACTATGTGTCCTTCGGCTTACCTGGTGTGTTAAAGAATATGACCTTCCCTGCAAGAGATCTGATGGCTTTTTCTGTCATTTCTGAATTTTTGTCATTGATTTCCTTCCAGCAAGGCAGGGGAGATGTGACTGCTTGATGACACCAACTACATTTGGGTTTTGTGTTTCTGTTTGTCCCAGGTAATGTGGTCTGGCTTGATGAAGTGACAGCAACACGGGCTCTAATAAATATGAGTTCCCTGCCTGATCAGGAGAAAACAAAGAGCAGAGAAAACAATAAGGAGAAGACAGCTGAAAAAACCAAGAAAGGTAGATTGAGATATGCAAATGCAGCCATCATCTCATTAAATCAATGAAACCTTAAACTTCTGCTGGGGTATTGCATAACCTAAATTACTGAAGGAGCTTCTATCATATAGTTGCAGGTAAATGTATTCTGCCACTTTAAAAAAGGCTTTCATCTTGGAAACCTTTTGAAGAAGCTGCTTCTTAAAAGGTGGGTTGGAGCCAGACCAAAAGCAGTCATTCAGTCGATACTAAACGTGTTAGATGAGGCTGATACTGGAGCTGGTATTTATAGTGGGCCATGTGCACAGAAATAGCTCTGTGTGCTGTGCCTGCAAAAGCAGGCAAAGTGGGCAAAAAACAGGTGTGACAAAATGGTCTATTTTTGAAATGCCACCTCGAACTCCCTTTTTGATGCACCACCATCCTTCAAGTGTGTCCCTCGCAGCAGCGTGACAGTGCATCACTTCACCAGGGTGTGTATCAGCTCTAAATTTGGCTGTTATCCTTTTAAGAAAGAAGTTATTAAAAGGTTGGTTATAAAAGAGCAGAGCAGCAAAAGTACGTGTTAGTGTCGTGATCACTCTGGTACCTGACTGCCTTGGTTGTAAATTTATTTTCCTTTTATGTGGGGAAGTTTAAAATCTGGATTTTGCTACCTGAGGACAGTTTTGCTCTTAGGCTGCTGTGAGTGCTGTGGTTGGAGGTGCTCTATCACGAAAAAAAAATGTCATATTTATTAACTTTTCCATAGGTTTTGCTTAAAAATGCTGTAGCCAATCTCTCTGTTAGGTATCTGCAGTTCTTCCAAAAGCCTTTCTGGGAAATTTGGTGTTTCAGGCTTTGTTAAACTTATGGATTCTTCTAATTCACCCCCTTTTCCTGCTCCTTTTCTCCACAAAGCAGTGGCTCCTCAACCATCCACATGACTTTAATTTTGGCCTAATGTTGATAAAGCTTCAAGTTAGACTTGTTAGGAAATTTTTGGAGATTAGGGACATTGCTTAAATGGAGCATAAACATACCTATTTAATCCTGCTTGCTATGAATTGCATATTATTATTATCATTGCACCCCATCTGAAAATAAGAACTGTAATCTGAATTACTCCTGTTCCTCTGGAAAAGTGAGATATTAGAGAAAGTACAGACTGTTCAATTACATCTTAAGGTGTGAGATCCATACAGATACCCTGGAGTCATCTGGCTTGGTTACATTCCTTTTTTTAGATGGGAATTTCAGGGCTGTTGTAGCATTTAGGGAAGCAAGAGATTGGTCTGTGCTATGAGAAACTTCTAATTTGTGAGGCAGAAAAATGCCTGAGTACTCTCCCTGATGGAACTTAATTATTCTGGTTTGAATTTGAGTAATTTGTTTACTTAAATTCTCTCCTTGGTTTCAGTTTGGTTAATCATGCTTTGTTTTCACTCAGGAATATTTTCAGGATCTTTTGAACAGCTGCCACTCTCTATTTTAAGTTTTTAAATCTATTGTTGGATGAGATTTAAGATAAGGAACTCTGAAATATAAAAGAGAGAATTTCTCAATCTTAGGTCTGTGAAGTACTTTGAGATCTTTGCAAATGATGTTGGCACATCACACTTCTTAGCTGTCCACAGTCATTACTTTTTTACAATATTTTATTTCTTGGGGGCTTTGGAAAAAAAAAGACAGAATTAATTGTCTTACACTGAGCTAAAAAGAACTGAGAAATCAAAGCAGCTCACAATTTTAGCAGTTCTGGAAGCATGCACTTATTGTTTAGTTATTTCACAGCAAAATTAAGTCACTGTGGTTGGATTTTTTCCTTTTTACTATTCTCTCTCTCTAAGCTTTTGATTAATAACCTGTTTTACACTGTTAGTATTGGATATTTGCAGGCATTTGAAAAGGAGATGGAGGGAAAGGCTTTTATGTGCCTTTAGTGCCTTGGTGTTGCTGATCTCTGATTTTGAACACACTAAATCCTGACAGGCAGTGCAGTTGCATTTGCTTTCAAAGAATTAAATTAATGATGCACATGTGCTGCTGCAGGCACGGAGCTCTGAATTTCACTGTGCTCCACTTTTCCATAGGCATTCACTGCTTTGATTATTCCCTAGGCTGCTCAGGAGGAAGGAAAACACCTTCAGGCTGATTTCAGACAATGTAGGTAATCATAAATCAAATGAAGCTGACACACTAAAATGGAGCTTGGTTTTGTTTTGTTTTTTCTTTCCCCAATTATTTTCCTTAGAGAAACAGGAGGAAAGCTCTGATGATGAGACAGAAGAAGGAGAGGTTGAGGATGACAATCCCAGTGATGTTGAGGTCAGTACAGAGGGGAAGTGGAAACTCTGCTGTGGAAGTTCTGCTGTGGCTGGTGTGAAGTTTCACAGCATTTTAGGTTTCTATTTGCAATTCACAATTTAATTATCAAAATAAATGAGGTGGGGAGTGAGAGGGAGTGCAGGTGGTGGTAATCCCAATGTAAAGTGCTTTGTGAAAATAGATTTTGGAGAGTTTAAGAGTGAACCTGGCTTCTCTTTTCTGCTGAGAGGAGGCAATGAAAGAACAATAATGGAAGGCAGTGACCTTTCAGCAGGGAAAGTGCTTAGAGCCCAATGGGATTTAGGCTGCCCATGGATCTGTGGGAATCAGCACACACAGTGATGTCCTGGCAGCAATTTAATCCTCACTGCCTGAGTGTATAATAGGTGTGATTAGGATTTCCTTTAGGATTGGCTCAGTGAACACTCCTACATCGTGGAAATCTGAATTGGAATTTCTATAAAGCAGCTATAAATGAAAAAGAAGGGGTTTTAATCATTGTGCAAGGGCATGAGAACCTGTTAATAATATCATGTAGATATGAAACAGGAAGAAAAATTAATTTTTTTCAGTGCCCAAGTTTTTCTATTTATTTTCTGCATTTCAGTCGGTAATATAGAGTCATTTGACAATTACTGGATTTAATAACCTGAGTTAATGTTATGGAGCAAGATAAGGATCTATTTTAAATTTTCAGGACAATTTACATTAAAAATTAATATCAGCTTGTCAAGAAAATAAAGCAGAGTTCATTTGAACATCATTTGAAAAGTGACTTTCTTCATAATCACTTGATTGCTTCTCTGTAAGCAACCAATTTTTGTTCAACAGTCATTTGGTTTTTGAGTCCAAAATACCTTTTTTGCCCCCAAAGTTGGATGCCCTCTCCCAAGTAGAAGAGGATTCTCTCCTGCGTAATGACCTTCGCCCTGCCAATAAACTGGCTAAAGGAAACAAGCTATTCATGAGATTTGCTACTAAAGGTAAATGACCACCTTAACAAGCACCCTCAATTCACTGCTTGTTGTAGTTTTATTTGTTGCTAATTCATGACTCAAAGTGCCTACTTCTTATTTAAAAGTGTGATTTTTTTCTTTTTTTTGCTAATTGTTAGGATTTTGCCATAAATCTACATTTCTTGTGTGAATTATATCCAGTTCAAGTTGTATGAAAATTATTGTATCTCAGGGCATTCTTCCCAATTCCATGGAATAGGAATGATGCCTTTTTCCAGAAATAAATTCCACGTTTTATAAATATGGATACAACTTGAGATGCCAGTGAGGGATTAGTAAAAAATTTTGTCAAATATTAATTTTATTTATGAATAAAATGAAAATCCATATAAATTCTGGACCATGCAGGAAGTGGCACATCCATTAAGAAAAGAAAGGTGATGAGGAAGGTGAGTGGAAACTCCAGCAGTGACAGGGGGATGTAATGCCCTGTTAAGCTGATCTGTAGAAACCCAGTCTCCCTGGAATTAAGTTTCTAGACACAAATAAAGCTGTGGTGGTAGGAGAAATTCCAGAGGTGTAAGCAAAATTGAATCCTTCATGGAGGAGGGCGAAGTAATTCTGATTTTAAGGCACACTCAGTCTCACATTCTGTCTTTGGATGATTATTTATTTTTATGCTGTGCTGTAAGTTATATTCTAAGAGGGAAAAATTCTTATGACTTATGCTTTTTGCAGATGACAAAAAGGAGCTGGGAGCTGCAAGGAGAAGCCAGTATTACATGAAATATGGCAATCCAAATTATGGAGGCATGAAAGGAATTCTTAGCAATTCTTGGTGAGTGTTGGACAGAGGAATTGGAACACTGCAGGTAATTGGACAAGCTAATCTAAAACTGTTTTAAGTTGTGGATTTTCTATTTAGTTTATGTAGATGCTTCAGTGTAAATAATGTTTTTGCAATGTGAGTGTGAATAATTAGAGAATTTTCTCATGAAAATAAAGTTTATGTTCAGACCAGCTCTGACATAAACACGTGTCTGCTGCTGGAGATGATAATTGCACATCCCTCATCCAGGATTTAGGGGCCATGAATGAGCCATAATTCCTGTGACAGGAATGTCACCCTGTCTCTGGTTTTCAGGAAGAGGAGGTACCATTCCCGTCGGATCCACCGGGATGTGATCAAGAAGAGGACGCTGATTGGGGACGATGTGGGCTTGACTCCTCCCTATAAACATCGGCACTCAGGTACTGGTGGCACTGGGACAGCCCTGGGGGGACACTGGGACATGGAGGGCTGGGCAGGATCTGGAGCAGTGCATCACCAATCCCATGGGATGTGTAGAAGTCTTCTTAAAAAAATAAATCTGAATCCCATTTGAAGAGTTTACAGGAAATTCCAGGGGCAGAAGCCTCATTCTGCTCATTGCTTCCCAAAATAGCTGCTGCTTTTTATGTGACATTTTTCTTTTATAAAATTTAGGGCACGGGGACTGTGGCATCAAAGGCTAAAAGAAGGGATGAATGACTTCTTCAGCCTTCTTGGCAATTTGTCATACTTGCTAAGTCAATTCTCCCAATCTCTAAATGTAGAACAGTAGAGATGAGAAAATTCTATTAATTAGGCTGGAATATCTTAATCTGCTGCCTAAGGTAGAAAAACAATGGGTATAAAAATCTGACATGAGACAGGTGCAGTGTGATTGGCCTGTTAAAAATACAGCCAAGGGTGTGACAAAACTCATGGAAGATTTTCCATGTTGGTCGTGTAGTGCTGTCTGAAGAGATGTCTGAGTGCTGGTGATGACTAAATTGAAATTGTTTCTATTTAAATCAGTGTCTGTGATGAATTCATAATGATGATACCTGTGTTCTTTTTGGCATTGCTGCTTGCAGGACTTGAAAGGTTTTTTGCAGAGCCAGCAGCTGGTACATTAAACCCTGTAAGATCCTGGGAGTTGTGCTTAGCTCAAGAAGGAAGAACTGCACCTTCTACAAGAGGCAGTTGTACTTCAATTACTGTGTCCAGCTTTGTGCTTGGCCAGGCCTCTGAGGGTGTGAACACCAGGGACATTTTGTCCTGTGACAGTTTTGTGCCATTTATTGATTCCAGTTAAAATACTCTGCAAAATATTCTCTCTCTTTAAGAAGAGAGAATTAAAGGAACTTCAGACTCACCTTAGGAGATCATTAATTACAGTGAGGTGATTTTCCTTCAGGTTTGCTTGTCAAGTACATTCTAAAATTCACTTGATCAGAAGGAGTTTGTTTTGCTGCAGGCTTGGTAAATGTTCCCGAAGAGCCCATCGAGGAGGAAGAGGAGGAGGAGGAGGATCAGGATATGGATGAGGATGACAGGGTGGTGGTGGAGTACCGGGATGAGCTGCAGGCTTTCAGGCAGGCGCGGGAGCGCAGCGCCGCCAGGAGATCCAGCGCCAGCGCCTCCGACTCGGATGAGATGGACTATGACCTGGAGCTGAAAATGATTTCCACCCCCTCGCCCAAAAAAAGCATGAAGATGACCATGTATGCAGATGAGGTGGAGTCACAACTGAAAAATATTAGGTAAAAGTTTCTTAGTCCTTAAAAGTAGCGCTGATGAGTTTTTCCAATTTTAGTACAGAGCTGTTGAAGCTTGAAACTTGAAACTGTTTTTCAGTTCTTAATATAATTTTGTAGTGGATATTCTAACAAGAAATACAGAGACTATGCTTTTAATTAAGCAGCTTTTTCTGCAGATCTCTCTATCCTTGCTTATTAATAATGAAATTTGAAGTAAAATCAAGAGAAATTTATGGAAACAACCATCATTAACAGGGAAAAATTACTCCTCTGTTTTCTCTTTGCCCCTTGCTCTTTATCTCAGAAAAAAAATAACCCTCAATTGTTGATGACAAAAGGGAATTTATGTTCATTATGGGCTTACTAACCAAAGCTGTATGTATTGTAGATGAATAAAATAACATGTGTCCCTTCAGTAGGGTGGTTATACTCATTATAATGTCAACAGCTTTTAGATGCAATGAAATGGATACTGAGGTATTAATGGAATTATTGTTATGTTTAGGATTCTGGCTTGAACAGCTTCTAAGCATTGCTTTTACTTCTTTTTCTCAGCAGAGAAATTCTGATATTACTATTTATATGATGTAATTTTCCATATAAGAAGACTTAAGAACTATACTAGATTGAATTTTATTTAGGGGACATCAAGTCTATGATTTGTTTTTTAGGAATTCCATGCGAGCAGATAGCATAGCCACCAGCAACATCAAAAACAGGATTGGCAGCAAAGGATCCTTGGAGAAAGTTGCAGATGTGAGGCTCCTGTTGGAAGAGAAACGTCAGAACAACTCTGGGCCACGGCAGCCAAACAGCACTGTCAAATCAGGTAATTCTATCACTCATTTCTGGGCAGAATTGTCACTAAAATATATTTATTTCACCCCTGTGCTCCACTGCAGATAAACTCTGCATTCACAAAGTTTGTCCTCATTTAGAGATTGAGGTGGGAATTGCTTTGGGGAAAAAATCAAGTATGCTTTAGTGAAAGCTTTTTTAGTGATGCTGATTTCTATCCATTTTCTTTGCCTGTGCCAATTTCCCCCCATTTTGTCCCTTTTGATTTGCTCCTTCCTTGAGGCAGAGATTCTCTGCAGCTGAGAAGCAGCACACAGGGAAGGTCATGCACAAAATCAAATGTGAAACACTGACTTTATTTAAAAATACACATAAATACACATTAAAAATATGTATTACATGAAGATGGGTGGTTTTGCATTTGTAAGGATTTATTTCTGAGCATAAATAACTTACCTATTTGACTTAAACATGTATAATTTCAGCTGCTTCTGACATATGTAATATTATCTGACTGATAAGGGAAAAATACCTTATTGTATCAATAAAACGTCAAAATTATGTTTGTATATTTTACCCCTCCTGCCCATTTTGGGCCTCTGACAAGTTAACGCATGATCCTGAAATTCCCTTTGCATTCATATTTTTGTTTGGACCTCCTGTAAGATTGGGAGCATCCAGCTAAGCCAGGCAAACTTCAGAATACAAAATCCACATCAAGGGTTAGGTATCAATATTTCTAGTATTCTTTTTATTTTATTCTGCCAAATACCAAGCGGTTGTAGAACTCTAAATCAAGGGATCTGTTATCTGAAAATAATTGTTGAAGGCAGACCAGTTTTCATGGAATTCTACCTCCTGATGGATATTTACACATTCTGCTGCTACACCAGAAAAGCAGCAGGCCATGGGACAACTTAGGTTTTTATCTTTTGGACAGAGCACCACTTGAAAACATGAAATGTCAAATTTATTGCCAAAACTGAAATGAAATCTGGCTAAATTGTACTGCAGAAATTTCCAGGAAATCTGAGTATGAAAGACTTATATGAACAGGCTAAAGAAAAGATAAAAACCAGAATCTGTCTAATTTCGATAGTGAATGAGCATAAACTGAGCTGGCAGAGTAAATGCCGCAGGATTTTTTTTTTTTTTTTTTAATCACTGAAAATATCTGCAGATGTAAGGCAGAGACTGGGAAAAAGGCCACACTCTCCAGAAATCAAAGCTCCAAGCAGTACCTGTGCTCCTCGTCGAGAACCAATCTCAGATGTGCACAGCAGGCTGGGAGTCCCCAAACAAGATGTGAAAGGCCTCTACTCTGACACCAGAGAGAAGAAATCAGGTTAGTTGTGTGCAGAAAATGTCCTGCTGCACTTCCTTTTGGTTTTGGAGTCCAAGAGAAATTCCAAAAAATTCCAGCAGAAAGCCATGAAGGGGTGAAGTTGAATGAAATTCAGGAAAAATTCACAAATGTTTGTTCAGAGCTTTGAAATCTAAGTATGTGTAGGGAGGAGCTGGGGGGTTTTGGGAGCAGTATTTTTATTGAGGTGGGCTGAAGATCAAGGACTGCTTTCGAACTGTGGGCTCCAAAACAAATGTCAGGAATGCAGGGGCACATCAGGTGTGCATTAAACATCCTCTGCAAATGGCTGCCCTGAGCCTCCTGCAGCTTAATTTCAATTACTCTACCAAGCATAATCAGTTCCATGCCAAATATTAAAGTGGGAGGAATAGGAAGGGTTTGAAGAGTTGCAGTGAGTTTAATTGGTTTCTTGACTTTTTCCTCTCAGTCTTGTCTCTTTTGGCTTTTTAAAAAATGTTTGTTTTTCATTTGCTTAGGTAATTTATGGACCAGATTGGGGTCTGCGCTGAAGACACAGGAAAAGACTCCAGAGAAAGCTGAAAACTCTGTGGCATCTCCAGAGGAAGATGACTCTGAGCTGCAGAGGGTTTGGGGTGCTCTCATTAAGGAAAAAGAACAGTCCAGGCAAAAAAAGAGTCGCTTGGATCATTTACCCTCCCTACAAATCGAGATCAGCCGGGAAAGCAGCTCTGGCTCAGACTCTGAATCATGACTGGGTTCACAGCCTGACCCTCCAGGTGCTGACTGCAGCCTGGCAGGATCCCCTTTGCCCAAAAGCTGGACACTGGCAAAGACTCTGCAGTGAAGGTTCCAGAAGTGTCTCTGTTCTTTTTCTACAACAAGAGAGGCATAAACCACTTGAAATTTAAAGCAAAGACAATTATCTGGAGTCTGTGGCTGGCCCTGTGCTCTGTGGGGCATTGTCATCTGTGTTTATGACAGCAAATCTGTAGTGAATTGTAGCAAAACATTTTCTCTCCCCAGCTTTGAACTTAAAAGATGAGGCAGAAATGCTCTGTATTTTTAAGGAGACCTTTTCTGTTCTCAATGTTTTCATCATGGAGGCTTTTAACAAAATGTTTTACATACTTCATCCAAAGAACAGGGCATTTATTTCATGATCCAGATCATTGCCTTGCCCTTCTGGCTCTTACCAGCACCTTTCCTTTCCTCTTGAAGTAATAACAATAAATCTTCCTGGGTGGGCAGCCAGCAAGGATAAAGCATGAAGGGATTGGTTTTCACATTCTCTTCTTTCCAACACACTGAATGTAAATCCAAGTTACACATTTTATTACAGTTAAATTCCATGTAGGTATTCCAGTGGCACCACCAGAATCCAAGGAGCCCTGCTCATTTATTTTGGTGATGCCACGTTCTGCTGTAGCAGGGATTAAGATGTTCAGGACTGCAAGGTTGAATGTTTGACAATTGTGTAAAAACCCCTGAGGGTTTGGGGGTTGTTTTTTTGCTGTTGTTCCACGAGGAGAGATTATGTTCCCATTATCCCACCTGGATTATGTCCTGAAGAAATCCAACAGCTGGAAAGCATTTTTATATTTGTGAGAATCTTCCCATTGGCCACGGTGAAAGCTCTAGTGGTGTTTTCCTCTGTGCTGTTCTATCCATGTAGAAGTGAAAGAGAAAAGGAAAATTTTAGGATCACTGTCTCCTGTCAGTATTTTGGATGTTTTTCCTGTATAGTACATGTGGATGTGGGCATGGGTGACTTGTTCCACTCAGCTTTTTTACCTGCACATTTTCATCCCTCCCTGGGTAGGACAAGGGTTTGATCAGTGTGCAGCTGCTATTTTTTTTTTTCATGTTGCCAGTAATTCTGAGTGAGGAATAATGCAGCACATCACATTCAGGTAAACAACAGGTAGCAAAACCATTGTAATAATCTGAAATCTGTTTGCATTGTCCCTGTTCCTTGGTTCTTGGTCAGTCCTAAATATCTGTGAACTCCTCTTCCCATTTCTGCTTTTTAACAAGCAATTTTCCTTTTTTTTTTTTTTTTTTTTGCCCCCCCCACCTGTTTTTGTACTAAGTTGAAGTAGGTTTGAGATTTCAGCAAGGAATCTGCAAAATTAACTTTTCTTATGCTTTATGATGTTTGAGGATAGCAACATGTCAAATGACAGGCACAGTGACTGAAGGGGCAGTCTGGGGGCTGACCAGGCTTCAAGCCTTACTCTTTCCTTGTTTTGTGACACTCATCCTTGATTTTATATTTAATTATTGAATATATAAATGTCTCATAAAAGTACTGTTGAGAGAAACGCCTGCAATGTCTGATCACTGTAATAACTCATTTTAAACGTGTGCTTTCACTGATACCCTCTCCCCAAGTTTTCCTAGAGAATCACTCCCATCTCTCCAGATCCTGATAAAATTTATTTCACTGGTATCTTTTTGCCAGTAAACCTTTGTGTTGTGTCACTGCTTTGAATCCACTGGGACCTTTTTTATTTCCTGAAAGGAATCAGCCATCTCATCCACCAAAGCTGGTGTTTCTATGTCAATATTCCTAATTTAAACCTGGCAAAGGATAAACTGATGGGAATAGAGGATCTCTAGCTGATCTGAAAGATGTGTGAAATCAAACACAGGTCTGTGACCCTTAAATCTGCTTCTGCCTTCCAGGTTGTCAGAAATATGCTTTAAAAGTTCCCCCACGCTGGCCAGGACTGTGGTTTTATGGTTTTGGTGGGGAGGTTTGTGTGATACTGAGCCCACAGGAGCTTAGGTGCCACAAAAATTGAGGTTTATTGTTTAAAGGACTTGTAGAGAGGGTTTTGTAACTGAGTGTTCCTTGGTTTTGCTTTTTTACAATGTACAGAGAAACCTTGGAGAGTGCTGGTATCAGGAATTCTTTCCAGCTTTGGGCTTCCTTAGTTGCCTGAACCAGAAGTGCTGGGATTTGGTAATTAAAAATGAACTCTAAATTTTAAGTCAATGCTTTTCCCTCAACGTTTTAATTTCCATCTGAAAATTATTTGATTGAGAGATTGCAAAGAGAATTTTATTCCAAGTTCCCTTCTCTTTTTGTTCAATCCTTAGCTAATGTGATTTTTCACTCACCTCCCAGCTATCATCACCTACAATAGTTTGATGCAGAAATTGATGTTTGATAGACAGGACCTGTGTATTTCGCTAAAATGTGTTCTATGTTGAAAATTGCAAAAAATGAGAATGTTGGCTTTGGCTCGTGCTGGGGGATATGTATTTTAGGTGATTTGTTACAGCACCACACTAATCCTTCTTCTAGGGAGTTTTTGCTGTTTGGAAAATGTGGATTTTTGATAATTCTTCAGGCTGACTGAACACTTGGTGTCGAGGGTGAAATTTTAAAGCAAAGGTGACTTTGTGTTTTTAAAACGATGGCTGATGCATTTAACAGAGGGAAGAGCAAACCAAAACACCCCTATTTTCAGTTCAACATGACATAATGTGAAAAGAACGGAACTTTTATTTAAAAACCGCTGTTCTGTTCTAAATGAAAGTGGCCTGAAATCGCTCGACCCCTCCAGTGTTCTTGGAAAAGGCAGAACCCAGGGCAGGATGCTCGCTGGGGTTGTGCCCGGCTGGGGCCGACACGAGGGAGCTGCCCGAGGCTCTCGCCTGTCCCTGCCCTGAGGTGGTGCCTAAACCTGGGGGGGTTTTGGGGTTGTTTTGTGATTTTTGGGGTTTGAGCGATGCCCGCGGCTCCGCCCGCCCCGTTCCCTCACGGCCCACACGGGAGGAAATGGGAGCGGCGGCGCACCCCCCTGTGGAGCAGTGGCACAGCCCGCCCCCGCCGCGGGGTGGTACGGCCCAAGGCTTTATAAGCGGCCGCGCAGAGGACTCGCTCCTTTTTGCGCCGTGCGCTTGGAGCGGCGGGGTGAGAGCAGGCGGTGCCGGGCTCAGGGCCGGGCTCAGGGCCGGGCTCGGGGCCTGCAGGGCGGGCAGCGTGGCGGCGCAGGCCTGGCGTACCGAGCAAAGCAGCGCCCGTACCGCTGAGCGAGCTGAAGCGCTCGCTCCCCCCGCTCGGCAGTGGTAGCGGCCGCCGGGCCTGCCTGGGCCGCGCGGGCCGGGCCGCACCATTGGAGGGGCGGGGGGGGAGGGCGCGTGGCGCCTCACGGCCCTTGTCCCTCAGGCCACCATGGAGGCGGCACCGGCACCGCGACCCCGCCAGGACCCCGCCAGGGCCGGGAACGCTCCCCGGTAAGTCGGGAGGGCTCGGCCGGGCCGGGGCGGTGTGTGAGGCATCGCTGCCGAGGCTGGCGGTCACGGCCCTGCCCGCGGCTCCGTGAGGGCCGTGCCGGCAGCGCTGCTCTGCGGGGTGCTCGGCACCCAGCGCCGCCCGTCGATTTCTGTGGCGCTGCAGCCATAAAAATCAGCAATTAAATCCCTTTTTTTTTTATTTTTCGATATGCTAGACCCTTCTTGTGTAATTAAAAATTACACCCACAGCATTGGAGTAGATGCGATTTCAGTTTGAAAATTGCTCTGTTGGTAAATGTAATCCTGCGATCTGCAGTATCTTCTTACACTAGTTTACCTACTTCTAAATTTTTTCGTACACTACTTAAGTTTACATAGTTCTAAATTTATTCTTGCACTATGAGTTTCCATAGTTCTAAATTTTCTCATTAAGAATTATTTAGAGAGGATTACTGACTACTAGTAGCTGTTTGCTATAAATATTTCAGTGATTCATATCAACTTAAACACGGGTGGAAGCACAAGCAGAGTTGGTCATGAGGGTCTGGTTTTGTTCAAAAGTATTCTGCTAACACTTTTCTTACTTTTACTCCCACAGCAGAAAGATGTCTTGAAGTAAAGAGTAAGTTGAATTTTACTTTTTTTTTTTTATTAAGGTGTGATAAGTTGTTAAAAGGGGTTCCAGGCCTTTACAAGTCAAAAATAATACGTAAAAATTACATCTTAAGTTAAATAAAAACTTAATAAAACTGATTTTGTGTATGCGTGAGTTGAAAGCTAATACATCATACATGGGGGGAGATTGTACAACTGTTTGAGATGAACGCTGGTGTTTTGAGTAATTACTTAGAGGAGTTAATTAACAGCTGTTAATGATGATAAACCTGAATAGGAAGTGCCGTCAGATGCGAGAACTGACGATACCCTTGTTCTGGTCTGAAATGCAGCTATACACAGGAGCCTAAACCTCCAAATCCATCCTGTAGAACCCAGCAGGCAGCTTGCTGTCCAGGAAAAAAAACATCTCACTTTGTCCCTCTGTCCCACTTCCTCTGCAGAGCCAGGCTTCCCACCTGGATGTGACACAGCAGGACTGGGAACAGCTGGGGAGGTGGCCCTGATGTGAAGGTGAGTGATGGCTTTCAGTGCACTACAAAGAACTCTGTGTCAGGTGAACTGCAAACTGAGAATTAAGTTTATAGGATATAAGGAGCTTGAGATGTGGATTTTTTACTTGGTCTGTGTTCCTTAGAATTGTAAGCCTGATGTGTATTTTCTGATGCATTTAGGTAGAGCCTGCAGGTCTGTGCTGCCACGTGCTGGTGGTTGATGTCCACCCACTGATGGGACATCTCTTTCCAAGTCCTGTGGAGGGCTCTGACACAGCAGAGTATGAGAATCTGCTGGGTGAGTTTAATATTTATTGTCCTCTGAGCTGAACGTGGTGGCTTTTGGCTGCAGTCTCAAAAAGAGACTTAGTTACACATTTAGAGCAGAAATTCTGCTCAAGATGTATAATGAATTAAGTTCTAGGCAAAAAAAAAAAAAAAATACTTGGACTAAAGCGCAGGCAGTAAATGTTGAGGGCAGCTGTTCCTGCACTGTAGACAGAGATAAAAGTCTTCTTCTGCCACAAATGTGTTACTTTCCCTGTGATATCATGTGATGAAACTAACCCAAATTTGCTGGAATTACCGGCAGATTGACTGGTGGTGAGCAAAAGGTCTTCTGATGATATCTGACTGATTAACAAACTCATTAATGATGATTAAGGCTGGTTACCTGACCCTGCTCCTGTGTTCCAGGTGGTGCTGCTGGAAACATCTTTGAGGCAGAAGGACTCCAACAAAACACCTGGGCTTGAGGATTTTGTGTAGACACATTTTCTGCCTGTTACAAAGTGGTAACAGTTAAAGTGTTTATTATTACGTGTACATTAAAACAATTTTTTAAAACCCACTGTTTTGTCACTTGACTGCATTAATTTGCTGTAAGATGAAGATGTACCTAGATTGGTGTGTTCACTGTCAGTGGGGTTTAGTGTGGTAGAGTTCAAACAAGACACCAAGAGTGTAATTACTGCAGAGACCAGCCCTTCAATACTCTTGACAGCCAGAGCAGCAAATGCAGCTGCATCTGTAGCTTGTTTGCAGGCTTGCTGTTTGTCATTTTGATCTCAAACTTGAATTTAAATTCTACTGCAGAAGCAAAGTTCAAGGGTTAGGGTGAATCTTGGGAACTTGGAGATGCTTAAAAGTTAAAACCCAGCATTTGAGGCCAAAACTCCCAATTAGTTCAATTATGTCAGTAGAACTGGCAGGATGTAACACTAAAGTGCTCCTAAATATCCATACTGATGGTGCTGAGCTTTCTGCCCGCGTGGTGTCAGCAGTGGAAAATTTTAGGGTGTGCTTTTTGCAAAATTCAATTCTCAACTAATTCCTCAAGAGCCTGTGTTCACTGCACAGCTCCAAGTGGGAGAGCTTGGGATTGGTTTTGCCTTCCCTGTGGAGTTCAGGTGAAGCTCTGAATTGCTTTTTAATTTTGATTTTCTGACTGAAAGGTGCTGTGAGTTGGTGCTGTTCCTGTGGCATCACAGGGCTGTCTCCCTCCAAAAGCACCAGGTGGCTGTGCTACCTGAGGTGTAGGCTGCATAAAATGTAGAAGTTCAGGAATTTCTCTTGAAGTTAGTGTTCAGAAAAACAGGCTCAGTGTTGTTCAGAGAGATCTCCTGGTTATACAACATGCAGGTGAATTAATCTGGATTTTTTTTCTCTTGAATTGTTACTGCAGTACATCCAGGGCTTAATGAAAACATTCAGCCTGGGCAATGGAGTAGGTAAAACATGTTAGGAATTAATCAGTTGCTCTTTATCTGAAAGGAATTGAGCAGTATGAAGAACAGGTGACTCCACTGCTTAATTAAAATTGAAAATTGCATTCTATGCCCAGTGTTTAAATAAAGAAAACTTATTTTTGCCTGATTTTAAGAGCCTGTGAATTAGAACCTGTTGGCATTTCTTATAATAGGCACTGGGAATAAAAACAGGTTTAAAACTTAAAAAGCACAAGGGTCCACCTTTTTTTAAATGTGAATCTGCAGACCATGGAGGTAACAACAGCCACATGCCCTCAGCAAAGAGAAATAATCAGCAGCTTGTTTAATGAGCTGTTTAATTTGCTTAAGGAAGGTTTCCTGCAACTTGTTTTATAATTCTTGCATTCTAGTGTTAGAATTCTCTCATTAAAACAGAGCAAAGTTGATCTGGGAAAACTCAAATACTGAATTTACCTGGGTTTATTGAGGGTGCAGTTGGTATCTGTTGGAGATAAATATTCATGAGTTTCATTTTAGCATCACTTGTTTATTGATCTAATCAAAACCAAAGTTCCTCAGCAGGGATCCTCTAGCAGACTGGGTTTTTGCTGAGATTAATGATTGGAAAAGTGTTATTTCTGTTAGAAAATGGTGCCTTTCAAACATAACAAATGTCTTCAACATTTTACTGTGATCTTCCTGGGGAGCATAGATAATTTTATGGTGCTTGAGGGGAAGAGAAATAAAACCATTCTGTTTTGATTACATTTGGAGCACTTAAGACTTAGTGTTGGGGAATAAACAGCAGACAAAAATCTGGTTTTAAAACACAATTGTTTTGGATTTTCTAAAGGTTTAAAAAGAACAGTTGGCAGGAATCCCTTTGGCACTCAACAGCAGCCAACAACCCTGGATAAATCTAAAATAGATGAAAAGATTAAAGCAGAAAGAAAGAAATATGCAGCAAAGCAAAGAATGGCTGAGTGCCAGCTTTTAGCAATAAGAGAGATGGCAGTGCTGTCTCGAATCACAATTTGAGAGAAAACACGGAGATTATCCCCAAAATCTCTGCTGTGGCTGTGGAGCTGATGGAGAGGGGCTGGAATTGTGAGGGAGGAGGAGAGGGATCCACAGGGGCAGAGCTGCCTTGCTGTAAATCACAAGCTTCACACTGCACATAAATGCTGGTTATCATGCTTATTTCTTGATTAATATTGTAAAGCAATCATATCTACATCAGCATGAGAATAATCACTCATGCAAAGCCATAAATTACTGTAATTAATACATGCCAGCCATTAATGGCAATGTAAAGGGGAGCTCTCTCTTGGCTTGGTGGCTGCTGTTTCAGCTGAGGCACTTTGAGCTGTAGCTACTTAATTAGAAGGGAGGAAGGGATATCCTGTGTATCTGAGCTTTTCAGAGTGCAAGAAATCCTAAATATTGACACTTCACTCCTTTTCCCCTCAGAGCAGGAGGAAGAGCTGCTCATTTTCCAGCTCTCCTTCGTTTCAGAGAAGTGAGGCACAAAGGAGCTGCTGTTTCCCAGCAAGGAATAGCATTGGTGTCATGCAAGAAAAGTGCCACAGGTTTGTTTCCTCCCAGCTAAAGGATGGCAAATGCTTTGTTACAATTTCTGAGATAGCACAGGCAGCAGCTCTTGAGCTGCTCAGAGCAAAAACTCAAAATAACCAGGGGGTCTTTGGCCTTTCTCAGGCTCAGGATGTTCTGGTGCCCCACTGACCTTGTGCTGCCAGAGCTTGAGCACATTGCATGTGTTCCTGTAAAGGACAAGGTTAATGCATTATTTAATGCTCTGCTAGGACAAACATTCCCCTTCTTTGTCACTTCATGTCATTTAGTGCCTTAATTTTACGCTTGAAATCAATTTCAGCCCAACTGTAATGAACTGATCCTAAAACTGCTGAATGTTCTGGGGGTTGAACAGGTGGGGGTTGATTTAGGGGCGTGCAAGGAGGGCTTTTATTGAAAAAACATTGAGCATTTTCTGCTCCTGTGCTCTAATCCAGAATAAGTCTGTCCTGCTTTACCTCCTGACACTTGAGCCCACAAGATGGGGCAGTGACCAAGCTCAGAACATTTGAGATAAAAAGAGATTTTTGCAGCCTTAAAGATGCTTCTTTGGGGAAACTCGGTTTTACTGCTGATTCCTTTCCTGTTTCTAATAAGATTTGCAACTTTGATTACTATGTAGAGAATCCCCCACACAGTGAAAATGTCACTCTTTAATTAGCTGTTAATTAATGTTTCTTAGTGTTGGACCAGCAAAGGCTCAGTTTTTGATGCTGTGCAAACTTGCAGTCATGGTCCCAGCCCCAAAGTGTTCCTGTTCTGACTGTGATGAGAAGCCAAAGGAATTAAAACTTACTTTTATTTGATAAAAATAAAGGATTATTTGCCCTTCATTAGCTTTCCCTCCCATGCAGCTCAGGAGCTGCCAGGCTGTGCCTGCTCCAGGTGGATTTTGAGTCAATAAACACCCCCAGCCCAGCACCTGTGTGGAACTGAAACCTGAACAAAATGCAAATGAGAAAATCATTTAGTGGAGACTGATTTCAAATCCCTGCTGTTTTAATCAAATAGAGATGTTAAAAGTTTAATCTCCAATAATTAAGACTTTTGTTTGTTAAGCTCCTGTTATTTTTGTAAGTCAATACTTGGATTTTTTCCATAACTGTTTTTTTTTGTTTGTAACGGTTTGTGGTAAAATCATTGCACAGCACAGCTGCAACACGAACTCTGAACAAATAATGATTGATGTTTCTCAAGCTGCCTATGGCTTTCTGCTGGGCTCTCCTTGGTTTTCTTTGTAATTTTGATTTATTTCCCAGATTTTTTGATTGCTTTCTTGTTTGTGCTTTCCCAGATACTGTAGGATAGTTAGTCTAGGCTTGATTTTCTTGGTTTTTTGTATATTTTGTGCACATGCAAACTGTACCTAAAGATTTGTTAGTGTTGGCTTTGGGTTTTTTGGGTGCTGAACAGTGGAATAGGCTTGAGGTTTAACAGCACATTAAAGACAAATTTCCAGCTAAGCCTGAAGTTATCAGCCATAATAAGAAATAATGAATTTTCCTGGATAGCTGAAACTTTATTAATAAACACCTGAGTCGAGATAATAGTGTCACCAATGGTCATTTGGTTATCAGCCCTTATCAGACAGCAAGTGCAGTGCTGGGGCTGAGGTGATCTGTGAGCTGTTTAATGCAGCTCACAACAGCAGCAGCAGCTGAAATATCCAATATAAATGTTTTACATCTGTGCCTCCATCTGATAATCCTGCAGCAGTCTGCAGAGTTCCACATCACCTCGTTCCAGATGAGAAACTGGAGCTGGGAGCCCTGCTGGGAGCAGGCAGAGGATTTGGTCAGCCATTGGATAAAGCAATTTTCCTGAACTGTGTCAAATCAGGTGTTTTATTCCTTTCATCCATGGCAGTAAATAATAAACTCTTTGTGCTGAGAGAAATGCAGGGATACCTGCTGGGAAGATGATGGGAATTGTTTCAAAGCTGGGAGTGAGGTGGGAGCTTTGAAATGCACAGTGATGGAAGCCCCTGCACCAAGGTAGCTGCACTTTGAATTTGATTAATTTAATCTATGCAGGCACCTCCCCGCCAGCCTGTCTGCTGCTGTGCTTTGGAGGAAGATGCTCTGTGCTTGCAGGAGGTGAAATAAAGCTTCAGTGTCAGGGCCAGGCTGTTTGGAAATGCAAAACAGGAGCTGCATCAAGGGCAGGGATTTCAAAGGTGCTGCTTTTATACTCAGAAAGGTCTTTGGAGATGACAACAACAACGTGGTGTCACCTGGCAACAGGTCAGAGGCTGGAGCTGAGGCAAAAGAAGGGTTTCAGGGAGGAGAACGGGGCTGAAGAGCCACCAACAGCACCAAAATGGTTTGGAGAATGGATGTCACACCAGGGCGAGGTGACAGCTCTGGGCTGGTGGCTGCCCCTGCCCTGGAAGTTCAGCCCATTTTGGGGGTTGGCACAGAAAGAAAAGATAATATTTGCATTTCAGCCCCCAGCTCTGCTGTTTCTGTGCCTGTGGTGGAGGGGAGCTCTGAGCCTGCAGGAAAATCCTGAGCCTTTGAAATAATCTAGCAAGCAGGTGGGTACAGTA